GGGCAGGAATCAGAGCTGAAAGCGTGGCGCGGTAGGTCTAAAAATGCGCCATCGCTTCATTTGACTGGAATTCAACCTGGATCCTGAGATGAGCTGGGTGCTCAAGTGATGCAGTTCAGCCGAGTCACCTACCGCAGCACAGAGCCTTCATCAACTTCTGTGCGAAAGTGGGCGCCGATTCAGGGGTCCCTGGCGCACCGAGTGGCTGTTGGCTACTGAGCCCCGGGTTCCCTGGACTTCCGTTACGACCGGGGAGGTGGGCATTGGAGTTTTGGAACTGTGCCTGGGTTGACGCGGCCGGAGTCGATGCTTCCAATCCGACACTCTGGCGTTTGGCCTGCACGCCGCCGGCGCTTGGGCGATCGCGTGTCTTCCCAGCTCCAACTTTCGCTGGTGAAGGAGGCGGGGGCTGCGCGGCGTTTAAACGGTCGGCTGTCACCCCGGGGCGTTGGCTGCCGCGGAGCTCCCTTGCGTGCAGATCGCGACCGGACGAGCTCTGGTGCTGGTTGTGGAGATGTGCCTGAGAGGAGTAGGACTTGTAGTCCCAGCCCCGTCCGTTGTTGAGCTTCATCCAGTCGTATTCGCCATCCTCAACCTCGCCGGCATTCTTGAGAGCTTGTGTCAAGATATCACGGAGATAATCGTAGTCAGGGGTATCCTCAAACCCAAGGTTACGCACGTAGCTCAGGTACTTGTTAAATTCTTCTGGCCGAGCGATTAGCAGATGAATATAGACATGGATATGAGTGAGATAACATACCTGGATAACTATCGCAGAGATCTTTGATCGCTGTCGTTTGCTTCTTCTCGCCAATCTTCTCGTACTTTTGCTTGTTGGTAGCTGCCTTCAGGCCCTGCCAGGGAAGGCCACCCCTCAAGAAGTACATGAAGACATGACCAAGAGCTTCCAGGTCATCACGCCGAGATTGCTCACGGCCCAGATGTGTGTTGATACTCATGTAACGAGCAGTACCCGACAAAGATTTACGCTCGCGGTAAGGGATGTGTTGCTTGGTCTTGGGATCGCGATATTGCTTGGCCATACCGAAATCAACCACGTGGATAACGTTGGCAGCCTTGGTTGATGGCCGGCCAATGAGGAAGTTGTCTGGCTTGATATCTCGGTAGATGAGGTTCTTCTCGTGAATCGTTTGAACGCGCGAAAGCTAGTCACAGTTAGCCATGGTCCATCTTGCAATTTGAAGCAGGGAAAGACGCACCATTTGCTTGGCTACCATCACAACAGTCTTCGTGGAGAAGCGGCGGTTGCAGTGATCAAAGAGATCCTCCAGAGAAGGACCGAGGAGATCGATAACGAGGATGTTGTGGAGACCCTCCTGTCCGAAATAGTAGACATTGGGAATGCCAGCTGACATGAAGTTAGAAGAGCGCACATCGTATGTTCCTGGATCTGGAATACTTACGGCATCCAACCAGGATCTTATATGTCCGGTACTCATCGCGGAGTTGGGGTGCATCGCTTTTCCGGGGTTCCTGGTTCCAGGTCAGCCAGGGGGCTCGCCGTGACGAAAAGGGGAGGGGAACATACGAATTTGATAGCGACCTGCTGGTTGTTCAGGAGGTTGGTGCCCTCAAAGATGACACCAAAGGATCCTTCACCGATCTTCTTGCCCACGCGGTAGTGGACACCCACTACGTTTGACGACGAGGAGGCCATGGATGCGGGAGTAGGTATTGCGACCCGGAGAAAGTAAACCTTGGATCACGGGGAATGGCTTCAGGGACGTAACACGTGATTGGTGAGTACTATCACTGGGCGCAGTCAGCATACACGAGGTCGGGCAAGGATGAAAGCAAATATTGAAGGGTCCTGTCACATACATCACAACGACCTCTATTTTTTCCGACCGAAGCAGCTCTAACAGGTTCAATGGGGGTCTATTTGCCCAATTGTTGGTGTACCGGTGACGATAAATAGGAGGCAGGGCAGCAGGCGGAATGCACAGTCGGGACAAGATCAAAGGGGCGTAGGGGACGTATAAAGCCGGAACAATCAAAGACAGGCGGAATTGGCAGTGCCGAGGAAGAATTGAGGAGCTCGTGGGTCCTTTTTTTGACGGTCGGGGAGTGACGAGTTGGGGTTGAGGCCGGGGAGATTCTAGACAAGCCAAAGCAAAAGGGTAAAAAAGGGGAAAACAAAATAAGTATGGTACTTCGACCTACTGCGAGTACGAGCCGCACTGAGCAGTGGTTCAAAGATAGACCAGAGGACCTGAGAAGGGGGGAGATGGAGAAGAGAAAGGGAAGCAACACTCTAGGAGAGAGAGAGAGACAGGGAGCGGAGGGTATTGGGTTGGTATTGGTAAAGATGCCCTGAGGGGGTGGACGCAGGAACTGGCGGTCACGAGCGTACAGTAACTGTATGGTAATTTTGGGGTTGGGGGAAATCCTCTACTCCCGTAATGTTCTTTGAGACCTATGAGAGGCCATCGTCTCCATTGTTCTCTCCATACTACTCATATTAAAAGGCTTGCCCTTATTCAATAAAAAGATTAACGAGGAAAAGCCACCAAATTGGTTACTGAATCTTCCTATGTACCTTTGTACCTACTCTGTACCTAACTCAGACCTAACTCAGACCTAACTCAGACCACGGCGCTTCCGCAGCGGCTCAACGTCCAGGGCTGCATTAACCAGGCACCAAAAACATCAGGGATAGGTTTCAGATATGTCTACAAAGTACAGAGACAGATGTAATTTTTTTGTTCAAAAAGAAAAGACAGGGTCTAATCCCATAGAAAATTTGATTCAATTTTCTTTTTTTCTTTTTTTCAGGGGAGAGCTCTTCCCGTCTGGAATTGGTCTGGAATGTGGTTAATCAAATAATATTAGAGTCTTGGCAGGAACCCGGTCTTCTACAAATTGACTCTATACCTAGAAGAGTACTTTATACGATGTACAAGCTTTATGTATATGACATATATCTTGAGCCTCTGATCTTCTGACATGTCTAACGGATAGACTTTACAAAAAGAAGTTCATGGATCTAATCCTATCGTTACATTATAGCAGATATCATGATAAATGGCCCCCGTGTTGCCTAATGGTCGTTGGGGATGTCCTCAGCCTCGCTCCCAAGTTCATTCTCAACCAAACCCATGTCTTCGTCACTGTCCTCACCGGCATCCTCGTCGTCCTCATCATCATCATCTTCTTCACTGCTGGACCCACTGCCTTCACTATCCTCACTGTCAGGGTTGTAGTCTTCCTCCTCTTCGTCTTCTTGATCTTCAAGCTCCCGCTGGGCTTTCTGAAGCTCGCTTTCATCTTCAAGGGTTGTGTCAGGGGCCGGTGCCGCTGCGTCCTCCCCACCAGCTTTATTAACATTGTAGACCTTGGCGCGCCGCGCCTCTGCGAGACTAGCATCTTGGAGACCATGTCGTTTGATGTAAGTGTCGATCCCGGAGAAATTATCCTGGTCGATCATAGAAAATTCGAATTCCTGGATGTCCTCTTCGGACCCATTCGCCGGGCGAGCCATGACATTGAGATTGAATGTCCGCTGGAGAACGGATGTATACGAGACAGAGTCAACAGTAGCGAATGAAAAGAACAGAAGTGGTTTCTTGAATGCAAATAAGATCCCCGTAGACAGAAGGAAGAGGTAGCCTGGCGCAAGCCACAGTATGTTAGAACGATCGGGACCAAAAATCAAACCCACAATTGCTTCCGGTGAAATGGAGATAGGGGATATTACATACCTTCTTTGCTACCGCGGAATGCCTTGACATGGTATGCCTTCTCGCCCTTTCGGTGCGCCTCAGGCATGGCACTGACAAATTGTTTATCATCAGGGCGCACAACATTGGTGTGAGGCATATTCTCATTCAGAATTTTGCGAATAAATGCCTCGGCCGATTCACCGGGACCGTGGCCAAGCTGATCCCCATTTCCTGAGAATGCAGCCTTGGCTGGTCCATCAGCTATCGTAAACACCATAGCTTCGGAGACTGTTGTTCCCTCGGGCGGGGGTGTGATGCCATCCGCATACTCGGGGATGATACAAAAATTGAACTGTTTCTGTGTCTTCTCCGGCACAGGAAGACAAAGCGCATGTCCTAATTTAGTTACAGGTCATGTTAGCAACTCTTCTTTTTTTTTTTTTTTTTTTTTTGAAAAAAATAATTATTTTTCCGGTTCGAACTCACGAATCTTGTCCATAGAAACGCCGAATTCAATCTCTTTTGTAGCCTGATTCCTTGCCCGAAGATACTGATGCCCAGCAGTGATCTCGAGCGTGAGCTTCTTCCTTTGCGGTGTAGAGAACGAAACATCTTGAACATAAAATTGAAGTGGCGCATTGCCATCTTTCAGGTTGACTGACGCCTGCGCAGCCTCCCCTGAGTCTCCATTTTGAAGCTTGCGCTTTTTAGCGGCAGGACCATCAGCAACCGGAGGCCGCGAAGGGAGGGTAGTGTTGGCAGTCCTGGCCAGCAGGCTGGAGGTATATTTCGCAAGATCTTCGAATAGAGGTTTGTGCTGTGGGGTTGTGCCTAAACGATAAAACCCATTGGCGTCGGTCAGTAGGAGGTCGACGGGGTCATCGAATGGGGACGCAGGTGCGTTGTTGGCCACACACCGATCGCATCGTAGACTCGCTTCTTCAGCAGGAGTTCTGTCGCAAATGCCTCCTCAATGGCGGCGATAGGTGCGCCCGTAGAATTAATCGAGGCAAATGCCATGTTTGTCGCGACTGCTTTGGTTCAAGAGAACAGCAGTGCAGGGAGATGAAGGTTAGTCGGAGAATTGGGGGATAAACGTAAGGGTGGACCCGAAGTATCCGCATTGACTGGAACCCTAACGTGGGATCATGTATTGGATATCTACATACTCCTATGAATTCAAAAGATATAATTCCGTAATAACTTTATCGAGAAATAGATATATGAGTGAATGCAAAGCTCCAGACTAGAATACAGTGGTGTGTGTACACAATGCTACAGAAAAAAAACCCCCCTCTGACTTCCACCTTCGCTCAATCAAGCAGCCTGCTTGGACTTTGAAGTCTGGACCTTTGTGAACTTCTTTGGCTTCTGAACCTGTCGTTGGGTTTGGATGTGCTGGTTAATGAAGTTAATGGCGCCCGGGGTTAATATCCCATTCCCGTTGGCATCCAACTTTGCCTTCCTCGCCTCCGCAATTTGAGCAATCCTCAAATTTTTGACATCTGTCTTCGGTGTCATCATGGAGACAGTTTGTCTGTATTCCTTGCGGAGGTCCTCCTTCATCTTCTCTTTCAGGTATTCCGGATCGTGTCGAGTGCGGAATCTGGAGTATTTGTTGCGCAGCTCATCAATGACGGTTGAAGGCATAGGCGGCTGCTCCAGTGTGGGTGTGAATGTGTTGGTCTCAACTGTCATTCGTGTTGTGTCCATGTCACCATCAGTGATGACAGGCGCTTCCTCCATTGGCCAAGGAATTTCGATGTCCAAGCCGGAGACATAGCGAGTGAATCTTGGGAGCTTGCTGTGTTCTTCTCGCTCATGATATGGCCCGGCGGCGTAAGCGTGCTGGACAATGACGTTCTGCATCTTTCCAGTATTTGTGTCTTCCAGCGGAATGACGTGTCGGATATCGTCGAAGGATACGGGGAAGGACTGTGGTTGGGTATCACCTGCGTGTCCCATTCTGTCCTTGGCCCATGGGGGAATGATCACGTCGGCCTAAGCCAGAAACATCAGTGAGCGGTTTGTTTTAGCAACTAAGAGGTTGTTGACCTGGCATGACTGGTCTGCCGGAGACATACCATGTTGATACCCTTGATAAGAACAGTCTCGCTGTCTCGGTTGACCTGCTGGATCACGTTGATCTTTCCCTGGTCCCGTCCACGTACAACACAGACTCGATCACCTTCGGCGAAGAGGACATGCCTCCGTTGTTCCTGCTTAGGGAGGCGCGGCGGGTGCAAGACGGAAGCATCCTGACCACCATATGTTGTGCTCTGCAGACCGGAGTCTCGCATAGGTGCAAGAGGCCCCTTTTCCCAATCCTCCCAGCGGTTCTTTCGAGCTTCTTGGAATTGAGTAGACAGTGCGCCGCCGTAGTCCTTTCGCGCCCGCCGAATCCCAACACGCTCCAACAATTCCTGTCGTTCATGAGCTTTGGTGGTCCTTTTAAGAGCCTGCTTCCGGGCTGTAGCTGTCCGCTGGATAACTCTCTGCATATTGGGTGTTGTGGTCCAGCAATGGCCGAACGTTGTCTCTGCCTCAGAATCCCCGAATTGCGGATCGAAAATTGAAGATGGCCGACGGTCCACGTGACCATAATAGTATATGTATTATGTCAGCGCCAGCCCGCCCCGCCTGTACCTAAACATAAAGTAGTTGTACTGAGACCCTCGTTCTTTGTAACTACATGCTAGTCGGTGATTCAAATGCCACCTTTATTGCTCTCTTTGGAATTTAGTTATAAGTCACTCTTTCTATTTGCAGAAGGAATATACTTCCATGGAAAAGTGACAAAGGCTGGGAACGATTGATACTCCAACAAAGCCAACAAATGCAAATAAAAGCTAATCTCAATAAAACCTGGGATTTACGGATATATTTGTGTATAACAAAGTTTTAGGTATAGCTCACAGTTCACACTCGAAGTTCCAGGGCCATAATCCACATAGAAAGTGCCTAGAGGTGAAATCAATGCCATCGTGGTATCAAAAAGATATTCGGGGAATACCATGATTAAAGGTCTATATCTAAGGATTTGGAGACCCATAAGAGCCCTTGAACAGCGACACTCGACAATCCGTGGAGCCATGTGTGTTTGGGACCTGATTTTTCGTACCGGTACATGTATGCAAAATGATGTGTGTGGCGGCCACTTACCACCAGAGCTCATTTGGTTTTCGAATGTCGATGAGAGGAATCCACTTATCTGCAACCATCCTCGGAGAATCAAGAAACACAAGCATGAGTTGTGAGATACGCATGCACACCGATGCCACGTAGTTTGAGATCATTGCTGGATGCCTGCTTCATCACCGCAAACCCTAGGAGACCATAGAAGGCCGGCACAAATGCAGCATCGTAGCTTTAGGAGTGATATCATGTAAAGCTTGAATAATGTCTTTGAGAGGCTGATGAAATTATGAAGGTGGGCATAAGAACAGAACACTTGACTTCGCGATTCTTCTTGGGCGCAAGAGAAGTCGGTCAAAAAGTAGACACCGGGGATGTACTTGTCGTAGTGGTGTGTTGTATCATAGGTATACATATATGTAGTTGAGATCTACGGGTATCCCAGAATGATGAGTGGTCGAGAGTGGCAAAAGCCATACTCATCCATATCGAACGTTCATAGTGTACATGTATGGTAGAGCGTCGTAGCATGGCGTTGGGATATGGAACTGGATTGGAAAGACCCTTTTGTGAGTGGTATTTGCTCATGCATATTTTGCTTTCGATACTTGTCCCCAAGCTGCCTCAACCTTGTTTCTAGTCAAATCTGTTTCGAGATGGGGAAGGAAATCTCTCCTAGAGTTGCATTTGTATGTTGAATCGATCGTCGAGTTCCACACCAATCGAAATTGCGAGATTGATCCATTTTTAGTGGCCAATGAACAAAGACAGACAAATTTAGACAAATTTTCTGTGTAGATCTAAATTTGTCTGTGAAGATTATGTTGGCGCTGAACCATTGAAGCGCTAAAGTGTTCACATTGAACTTCAAGGATTATGCTCTCATAATTTTTTTCTGATTTTCCGACGGAACAACTTAACGGCCTGTGGCTCGTGGGCGCAAGCTCCAGGATTTGGCCCCTGTTTACTATTTTTAGCCGGCGCAACGCAATCATTGGAGCTGGCAATATATCAGCTCCACTTTCAAAACAGCTGCCTCAAGAATGTTGTGAAGCTATGTAAGCTCAAACCAAGCGAAGGGGGTAATGTTTTGATGATCTGGTTGAATTAGAAATTTAAAGATTCCGCAATTTGATTTGTTGAACGGATTGACATATTCAAGTTACTTGGGTCCCCCCTGGATACGGTAGCAAATGAGACAGAGTTTGCCAGCAGAGAGCATGAGAGAGGGTTGGAAAACTCCACCTACAACTTAGTCAGTACATACAGAGAGCTCCCGCGGAACGTCAGAGGACCTGAGATGCAGCGAACTATGGGAATGATCTTCACTGGTCCAGTTGAGCATTTTGGGTGAAATTATCTGTACAGCGTAGCTCTGAAGGCAGCCACGTAAGAGCATTGCCCTTACCTAGAAGCCCACGCATCGCAGTAGGTAAGTACATCATACATGAAATTTGAGGACGTGGAGCTAATAAATTTTTGTGGTGAATGTTGCTGGATAGGTACCTTGGGATTTCCATCGAATGTACGGAGTAGGTTTTAGGTGATCATTGAATGAATGGACCTGAGTTGGGTTTTCTCAACCTTAGAAAGAGAACAAATTACTAATTGAAGATCTCCATAACCTTTGAAAGCCAGAGAGTATGAGTGAAATCCGGGGCAGATAGAACTCTGAGAGAACTCATATCACATTATGCTCATTGTATCAGATACATGCATAGCCACTGGTGGCTGTGCTGGCTGTGCTGGCTGTGTGGGCAACAAAGCGACCAAGTGGGCCAGACGATGTGGATGGAGCGGGTTGTTTTGGGGGCCTCAGCCACACATACCTTGGGCTGTGTACGTATTAATGTTTTCTGTTCCTCTCAAAAGGGGAGAAAGGTATAAGCCACAGTATGTAAAAAAAAGGGCAGCCTGAAACTCAGGGGGTACACTGGGGTATGTGTGTGCTCGTGTGTGTTGGCACAAATAGTTACAAAGTGAAGGTAACACTTATGTACACATGCATACCAATACCAAAACTTGTACAACCTTCTTGAGTACCTTTAAGGCTGCCACATACGCAAGTCGATACCTCTTCTAGGCCTTCCAAGTTTTGCACGAAGGAACTCCAAGGAGAAAAGCCACAATACCGGTACACCCACTGGCAACAACAAATACCCGTATACTGCCACCGCCCTCCGTTGTCTGGCCTGGTCTTCTATCTTTCTCTCCTCCACCTCCAAATCATCATTCCATCGTCTTTTTTTCATCGCTTCCCATCGGAAATACCTACTCCATCTTACTCATTTCCCTAGAGCTATTGCTGCTGGTACTAGCTGATTTACTGCATTAAGTCTACCACACCGTTGCGCCTTTGAACACTGTATGGGATCACCCTTTTCCTTTCCCCCCTCCTAGTGAGCGCCTGACTTGGCCTTTTCTTCTTGATCATCTGGCTCTGTGATCCCCTCGTGCCTATTGAAACTCTTCCCTCTTGGAACTTTAGGACTTGCGGGGCTACCTGGTCCTTTCCTGCTTATTTGCCCCTATACTGACTTGTTCCTTATCAAGATGGCCGAGATCCGTCGCAAGCTCGTCATCGTCGGCGATGGTGCCTGCGGTAAGACCTGTCTGCTCATGTGAGTACTGCAAGTGGCTCTTTTATCGAGGGCGCTTCCCCCAAACTCTGCATTCACTTTTCTGGTTCGGCGGCCTGACTGAATTTCACAGTGTTTTCTCTAAGGGCACCTTCCCCGAGGTAAGCTCCTATCCATCCTCGAAACTCCGATTCCCGAAATCACATTCCTTTCGGAATATCCGCCGGGGAAGAATAATTCATGATGGATAATCTGACCTTGCTTCCGTCAGGTCTACGTCCCCACAGTCTTCGAGAACTATGTTGCCGATGTCGAGGTTGATAACAAGCACGTTGAGCTCGCTCTTTGGGATACTGCTGGCCAGGAAGATTACGACCGTCTCCGTCCTCTCTCATACCCCGACTCACATGTGATTCTGATCTGTTTCGCTGTGGACTCACCCGATTCGCTCGACAACGTCCAGGAGAAGGTGGGTGTCTCATCTCTAATCGACTGCACAACCCCAAGCAAAGAAATGTTGGGGTTTGAAATAGACTGAAGTGCTGACGTACTACAATAGTGGATTTCCGAGGTTCTGCACTTCTGCCAGGGTCTCCCTATTATCCTCGTCGGCTGCAAGAAGGATCTTCGCGACGACCGCAAGACTATTGATGAGCTTGCTAAGACCTCTCAGCGCCCCGTCTCGCAAGAACAGGTACGCTCTCGCGATCGCATGGTATATCTAATCATAAGCTAATTTATAACTACAGGGTGAGGAAGTCCGTAAGAAGATCGGCGCCTACAAGTATCTCGAGTGCTCTGCTCGCACCAACGAGGGTGTCCGTGAAGTTTTCGAGGCTGCTACTCGTGCTGCTCTCCTGAAGGCCGTTAAGGGCAAGGGAGGCCGCAAGAGTGGCAAGGGTTGCCTGATTCTGTAAACGAACCAATTGTTGAGGTGGTCTCGCTCGAGCAGAGATCATATGTATGAGAGCCTCCACGATAAACAATTGGTGACGTTATTCTCGGAAAGGAGGAGGGCTTCATGGCCTGCATGCGAAATTGTGGATAATATCGAATCCGGGCACCCGAATCGTGGAGGTTTCCCCCCACAATTCAGCTGGTCGACCTTGTGTTTTTCTTTTGCCTTTATTTGCAGAATTTGTCTAGGGAGGCGTTGTCTTCATCATAACCCTGTGGGCTTTTCTTTTTCTTTTCCTCTCGTTCCGACACCGTGAATTTTGAAATGCCAAACTGCCGTGTTGAGATGGCAACTATAAACATACCTGAAAAGAACTGAAAAAAAGACCCCGGACTTCGAACGATCAGGAAATGAAGAAGGGAAAGCCATTCAGTGTAGCACCGGTTGTGCAATTTGGTCAACGCCGTGACTCGCCTTCCCTGGTCGAGTTCCCCTTGTGTCATAGATTCTTGTCCCTGCGGTTATCTCCCCATACGCGAAGAGCTTGATTCGGCTTTTATTGTTTTCTCTCCCTCCTTTATTACATTTGTTTTTATGTTACAGCTCATGCATGGTACTGTCTATTTGATCTGATACGTGTACCTTATCAGGCTTAATCCTGCGGTGTAGTAGTGTGTCCGTAAGGCTGTAAGTATTTCAATAGTTCCAACTACTATGTAGAGTATTTTGATAATTTCTATACCCAAGTTCAAACATTGTGGTTTGTAGTGTCGGATTATGTACCTATTTGCAGATACATAGAAACCCACAACTCTACACTCCACTTCACCAAGCCCCATCTCAACTACCGATTCAAGCTCAGCAGACCCTCAATATAGCGTCTAGCATCCATACCAAGGCCTTCAACCAGCTTCGACGGCGCCATATCCGTAGTACGGGACAATCCCGTCAATCCAGCGGAAGGAGACGCGCCACCTAGATCACGGAAGAAGCGAGCGCTATTGCTGACACGGCCATGGTTTGCCGGGGAGATGTAGTCGCTCGCTTTTCGGATGAGGAAGGCCTCCTGAGGCAGGGGAGCAGATGGCGCTTGTGACTGCTTCGCGGGGGAGGAGTCGTCGTTGTTGGTCATGGATGAAAGGGCAGTGGAGGAAGGCGTGGTGGACAGCGCAGTTGGAGTTTGGGCTGTGCTGTGTGGGATGCGGACCCAGACGACCCACCATCCGCGCTGGGTTTTGCTTGTGCGTTCGAGCTCTTGCGGGCGGGAGCGCGTGTCTGTGTACGTTGATAGGAGACGGTGGTGGATTGCTATGCTCTCAACGCGGGACCAGGGTGGTGGGGTTGATGATAGGGAGAGAGAGGGGGACGGGGTGCGGGCTGGTGAGTTGATTGGTTGGGTGGAGGGGGAGCTGATGTTCATGCTGGGGATGTTAGGGATAGAGGAGCGGATGGTTAGGTTGAATGGGTCGTAGACTAGATCGTAAACTGGCTGGGTTCGAGTGGAGAACCGTTTATTAGGATCTGGGGAGGTCTCGGACATGGCGATTCGAGAGGCTGCCATTGTTGGGGATGTTGATAATAGAAGGGGTTTCTGAAGAGGACCAAGTTGGTGATGCATGCTTGAGTATAGTGACGGTGATGATAATGCTGGTGTTTGAGGATCAAAGAGGAATGTAAACATGAATGGTTGATGCTGGGATGGTGTATTAGCGAGCTGGTTCGTATGGAATAAGAAACCACATACCACATATATCACAACTTGGAGCTTTCTCGCAGTGGTATCTGCCAGGTGGACATGTAGAGTTCTATTCACTATCCGAGTCTTGGGTTTGCTGTTCTCGGATTCGGGCTCTGGGCTTCTCTCTTCTAAATCATCCAATTTTTCCAGATCATCACGAGGTCCAAGAACAAAATGACCCGATGGACTGTTCCTCGTACTGCTTCGATCTTTTGCGCCGGTCTGGGGCGATTTGACAGCACTGATAGGCTGATTCTTTGGGGTTGAGGTGTTTGAATGGGGATCATCGCGCGTTGGAGTAGAACTTTCAGGCGGCGTAGATGTCGACTTTGGAGAGAAACTCCAAGAGGAGCCGTATCCAAGAGTGAGGTATTTCATAACCGCCTCTGTTGGGAACCCTAGATTCTCGCTCTTTTGCTCAGTGCGAAGTGGCGATGCCTCATTTCTTGTTCCTGCTTGATTCTCCCTAACGACGTCCGGGATTGGCTGGGGTGCTGCCATTATGAGCGGGCGAGGTATGCCTGGCTTAAATTTGCGATCTGGAGTGAAGGGCGGAGGGGCATCTTCCGAAATTTGCCTTCCACGCTGCTTTCGTGGTTTACGGCGACGCAGCGAGGTTGGGTCCCGCCCAACTCCATATGCAGCATCTCCAAACCGATAAATGCATTGCATCCAATGTGACACATGCGCCAATGAGTGCCTAGAAAGAGCACCGATACCAGTAAATATGACACCATCGGATGGTCGAGGATCATTATCGGCCCCAAGCCATCGACTTGGGTCATTTGATCCCGAAGCAGGAGACCCCTCGAACTGTGGGGACGGGTCCCCAAACCTGGAGACAACCAAGTCCACCAATCCGTCTGTCCTTGTCACGAAGTCTTCAAGCACTTCTCTTTCCCCGCTGCCCCACTCCTCCTCCCCAACGCCGATCCCCAACTCCCCTCCCGCAGAGAGTTTGATGCCATTATAGATATCGACAATTGGGTTTCCGGTCAACAGAAGCTCCCAATTCCACGCAAATTTCTCCCAGAAACGCTCAAGAAATAGACAAAATGTGGACCTGCCGACTTGATGCAGGATATCGTATAATTTGAAGTCGTGATGCAGGAGGAATTCCGAATGGGCGCGACGTAATTGCTGGATCAGTAGAGGTGGGGGTGCCATCTCTCGCGACGAATAATAGAATGCCGGAGAGTCGGGGGATGAAGAGGATCTTTGCGGTGGATCGGCGGGAATTCGAGTCAGGTCGATAGACTGGCTTAACATGAGCTTTGTGATCTGTGTCGTTATCTTCATCACTTACGGCAACAATCCACCAGTCCTTCTCCAACTCAAGCAGAACCAGCTGCGCTTTGTCTGTTTCAACATATTCCAGTGTCTTTCCGGCGGAGAAGTTACTATGGATCAAGCAAGATTAGATTAGTTCATTTGCGGGGGTTGCGGGGATGCGTACCTAGCAAAGTTGACCATGCCCTGCGCCAGACCTATTTGGCGCAATCTCTCATTCTCTTCATCCTCAATACATTTTTTTGCTTCAACTTCTGCCGTGGAGCCATCGATGCGCCGCGCATGGCTCGATTTCGAAGTATAGAACACGATCTGGTCCGCTATCGTCTCGTCGGTAGGTCCGAGGGCCGGGTTATAGATGGCAAGGTACGAAAGTTGGGCTGGAATTACTGAATCATGATCGCTTTCAGGCATCGCATAGTTGGATGGCGTCTGCAGGTCGCACCAGACAGGCAACAGCAGTAATGGTTGAAAGACAAATGCATCTGAAGTGGGATCTGGGGTGGATGTTGACATCACGTGCGTGTTTTATCGATAAGCTACTATGGAAGCTTCAACTTTGTCCTTTCCAACTTCTAGCAATTAACTGTCAAAATCATGTGGATTATTCCAGGTCCAGGGAGCCTGCGTCTCTGCAAGAGATCTTTGATACCCCGAGGGCTTGCCTTCAGGTCATATGCTACCAAGACCTCTGATCCGCTCCGCATTCTCTTTTGCGGCTCTGATGAATTCAGTATCGCCCACTTGAAAGCTCTCCATGCTTATCATTTGAAACAACCGGAGCGTATTTCCTCCATTGACGTTGTCTGTAGGCCCGGAAAGAGAGTTGGACGAGGGCTGAAGCAGGTTCGAGAAGGTTAGCTTCATTTTACGCTTCCTTGAACGGCCATGTTTTCTAATTGGCTTGCCCTCAGTTCCACTCAAAGCGGCCGCATCTGGTCTCTCTCTTCCGATCCACGAGATTGATACCTTCACTGGATGGACGGTAATGCCAAAACTCAACCCAAGTGGTACTTTCGCTGACTGTGCTAGCCCCCGACCTCCCCGAACGGTCATATAAACTTGGTGATTGCTGTCTCATTTGGACTTCTTGTTCCGCCGCGCATATTGAATGGTGCCAAGTATGGAGGCTTGAATGTACACCCCTCGTTACTACCAAAGTATGTGGTTGTTACATGTTCAGTATCGAGGAGTAAGACGATTGACCTGATTGATTAGCTTCCGTGGTCCTGCACCGCTTCATCATACTCTTCTTGCCGGCCAGACCACCACTGGCGTGACGGTACAGACCTTGCATCCAAAGCACTTTGATCACGGAGTAATATTATCACAAACGCCAGCTCCCGGCTTCGACATCCCCAATCCAGATTCATGCACCGTTCCCGAGCTGGTGGATTTCGTTGCACCGAAAGGAGCACAAATGCTCGTGGAAAGCATCGAAAAGGGACTATTCGTCCCTCCTATTACAAATGCTGGTGCTGAACAAACCGGAAAATTGAAACATGCCCCCAAAATCACACCAGAGGACCGGCATATCAATTGGGCAAATTGGACCCTGGCAGATATCAACAGACGTAACCGAGTGATTGGACCACTCTGGAGCAAGGCCCTATGTGCGAGCAATGCTGTAGATGGGACTATATCATTCCAACAGAAACGGGTCATTCTCACAGATATCGAGGAGGTCGACCCGCCTAAGGGATGTGATTCGTTCTCAATACTCCCGGGACTACCGTTTACAAATGCCTCCCACCCTGTTGAGCCAAAGAAGTCGCGGCAGCTATACGTTTTTACTGCTGACGGCAAGGTTCTGCGCATCAACCGAATGAAAGTGGAAGGCGAACAAGATGCAGAGGGCCTGCGAGCTGCTATCAAAGCTCACATGTTCGGTGATCGAGCATTCCAATATGAAGGTCGGGACCTGACTCCCTTCCGCAACTCTCTTGTATAATAAATATACATATATAGTGGAGTTATGTGTACTATAGGTAATCTCTGTTATAACCAGTTCGACTAATTTCCGTTCCTCATTTCTACGCGAAGCCAGAATCTAAAAATTTGTCAGCTTCAACCAAACCCGCAGGATCTGACAGCCATACCAATTCTAACTGTTTGTCCAGTGATAGAAGTGTTCTTGGCTAATGTAACAAACATGTCCGCACAGTCTTCAACATCGGGCTGTAGTTGGATTTGTTAGCACCCAAGGGTTCCTTCGAAGGTTGAGGATACCAGGATTGCTTACCGCTCGCTTGAGTGTTGTTGCGTTAGTCCAGGACTCGATTTTCTCGGGCGAGAAGCGTTGACCCTGGGATATTCTCAGTATTCATCAATGCTAGCGTCGAGCATGTGCGACTTACCCATTCAGTGAGCAATAGACCAGGAAGAATAGCATTGACGCGAACTTTCGCTCCTTGGCTCTTAGCAAGACACTTCATGAGATGGATAGCTGGGTGATACAGTCAGTAATCAATAATCAGCTAGCGTGGGTTTAGGAATGAAAGCATACATGCTGCTTTCGAGACAGCGTACGGCAAGCTGCTGCCACCTGCCAGGACACCCTAGAAAAGACCCCGTAATCAGCATTTCAATTTTTTCATAGTAGTGGACAGTTGTTTTGGTAGCTTACCGCAGTTGAGGCTGTGATGAGAAACACACCACCTTCAGGATTCGCATTGAAAGTGGGCAAAGCTGCCTTGAACAGGTGGAAGCTGCTCTTGACATTAACCGACCAGCACTGATCTAATAGTCAGTCAAACCAAAACTTCCACCAAAGAGTGCATATTCAATACCTTATCCCAGTCATCGTCGTCCATGGCATCAAGATCGCCGAAATTGGTCATTTTTGTCCATCCCTTCCCATATATCAGCATTGTGCATCCCTCTTGGTCTGCTCGTATAACTCACGGCGTTGGAGATAATAATATCCAAACCACCCAGTTTCTCAATTGTGGTTTTGACGGCGTTGATACAGTCATCTTTGACTCCAGCGTCCTATTTCCGAGTGCAAGATCATGTCAGCGGATCAACTATAGACAAAATAGCTTATGTGCCTTGGATTTGAGTGTCTTACACCTTGGATAACCACAGTCTTTACACCATATTTGCTTGCAATGTCCGAGGCAAGCTTATCCGCAGCAGCCTTGTTGGACATATAGTTGATAGCAACATTGCTTCCCTCAGAGGCAAATTTCTCGGCTGAAATGGCACCTAGCCCGCTGTTAAATGAGATTAGCTTTGATTATCATAGCATATTGCTCCAACCTTGGAAATGAAGTATGTTTCTTACCGAGAGCCACCGGTGATCAAAACATTGCGACCCGACAAAGAGTAGGGCATGGCGAGTAGAATTTTTAGATTAAGTATTTGTTTCAAAGAGGAGGGACAGATTGAAATAAAAGAGTTGAAGAAAGGTCCGATGCGGGGTAGAATCGATCAAAGTATTTACATATATTCCGCACTCCTAGTATAACCGCATTTAGTCGATGTGAATGTAGGGATATAGGTACTATCTAGTCATTTTGTACGGCAGATCGCATCACGGAAATTATCTTTATATCTTTTAGTTTTTGCCAAAGAGTCGACCTCTACCACCAACGTCCATAGCTTCAGCTACAAAAGACATGCCAAGGAAGACGATAACAGTATATATACTGGTGCTCTGGAAAAATATCTATATTAAAGAGAAAGAAACTATATATCGAGACCAGAGACAGGCTGAGAGCAAACAATAAAGGCCACATGCCCTTCAAACAAGGACCTACTATTCCACAACTCCCTAAACCGACTACCCGCCTCGTCAATCAATTACCTCGGCTAGCCCTTCCACGGGCCTATCTTAATCTCATCATAATCCACAACTATGCCGAGCCTATAGCTAAGCCCCCCGGCACTTAGTCCCGCTATAAATCTCCCGCGATTAGGCACTAAGGAATATAACGCTATTATCTCGAATGCCGCCTAGCACTCCTCGTCCGCGATATAAATAGATGAAGGGTTTTTCCGAAAGCTTTGCTGTCGAGGAAGGATATTAGGCTCGCAGTAATACGCCGGCGCAAGGTACACTGCCTTGCCAACGCGGCCGAGAAGGGACGCTAATGCGTATGTACGAACTTGCTTTTTTCCCCAGTAATACCAATACTAGTGATCATTAATAATCGATTGTTAATATGCAGCTTACGGCCTTTTTCGTATTTAATTCCATGTATTTGTTTGAAAGAATACCATATTTATTACTCGTGGCGTGCATGCAGTAGCGTCCCTTCTCGGCCGGGCTGGCAAGGCAGTGTAGAGCGGTCGATCGTTAGGAGTGAGATATTATTGATATTGCGTTCATCGACGGTGTTACCTGTTCCTACAATACACTTTAGTATTTTCTATAATGTTCCCTGGAGCCTGTTTATAATCTGGGCCACTTTGACGTTATCACGGCAAAGGTAGCCTGATATACCGCATGAAATTTGTTTCTGGTCATGCAGGGGTCTAAATGCGATCACTCGACAAAACTTGTACCGGTTCTTTAAGCCCAGAAACAAGTTCTTTGTCTACGTAGCTACTGAGAGATAATGGGACCCACAGTTTTCGAAGTTTCTATTCGTCGCCCGGCAGATCGCCCTTACATCGATCGTCTACGGAGTACATCGATCAGTGGCTTAATGTTGAGGCCTCGACCAGCCTCTGCTATCTGCGTCTAGGCAGAGTGCACACTAAATACTCCGTAGAAATTACAGATATTGCAAGGTTAGTCAGAGTTAGTCGTTAAAGTCATATCATTTATAGGTTAGAACAAATGGGCAGATGTCTGCCCAATGGTAGGCAGCCCTGGCCCGAACATTAGAATCATGACTATTGATTAGTACTACTAGTACACATATGCCAAGGTTAATTGTTTCGGATAGAAGATCAGTACTACGTACTCCGTATGAATTTATATGATGAAGAGAAGATCTTTTATATGAGATCACATCTCTAATAATAAGTGTAAGTAAAGTGGGAGGCTGGGAGTTGTGGGGTCTTAATATATATGTGTGCTCTGCCAAACCTATTATTTTGCTTGTGCCTTGCCGCTTTTTCTTGGTTTTTTAGGTAGACATTCTTTTTCATATGTATGAGTATCGACGGAGTACTCCGTACTCCGTATATATTCGCGACGAAGACATCTATTCAAATATGCTCTGTATCACATACCCAGAATAGCCATTGTATATGCACATATACTCAGACTGATACAAATTGGCATCTAGACTGCACACCCGTAGAGTGAACGGGGGACTACATGGAAATGACTACTCCGTACATGTAAACTCCATGGAACAACGTGGCGTAGCTGTCTACTTCGTTGTCTGTACATTCTCGATCGGGATGCAATGTTATTGGTCCAATGACAGCCCGGGACCCACGGATCGACCGAAAACAGAAACAACTAAAACAGAGGAGGCTGGCACCTTCCCTTACCGTTTGTTTATTCCATTGGGTTGAAATCTCCCTTCCTCTTCTTTCTCTTCTTTCCTGATTCCTCACCTTTTACCCCTTTCATATCACATTCAACTTCATCATTGCATAATAGTTGGAAATTACGTATTGGAGATAACATATAACTTACTCTACTTGGCCCACCATGCGATTCTTTGTTGGTGCGGCGCTGGGCCTGCTGTCTTCCACGTTAGTCGCGGCCCAAACTTATACCGATTGCAATCCGACACAGAGATGTAAGTTTCACCATCGCCGTTGTTGACAGAGCACTAACAGCCACCAGCGTGTCCTGCTGATCCTGCATTTGGCCAATCCGACAAGACATTTGATTTCACAAGTGGCGCGGCTAATGCTTTCAAGTCAACTGGAGCCGTCACATATGACCAAACGAATGGTGCAACCTTCACTGTTTCGAAGCAGGGTGATGGCCCGCTAATTCAGTCCGGCTGGTACATCATGTTCGGCCGCGTGGAATTTACTATCAAGGCAGCACCAGGGACGGGAATCGTGAGCAGTGCAGTTCTACAGTCGGACGATTTGGACGAAATTGACTGGGAGTGGCTGGGCGGAAACAACGCTCAAGTACAGACCAATTACTTCGGAAAAGGAGACACAACCTCATTCAGCCGTGGCGCCTTCCACGACAATTCTGGAAACCACGATGACTTCCACACTTTCTCTATCGACTGGACCAGCAGCCAGATTGTGTGGGCAATTGACGGCAAGACTGTTCGTGTTCTCACTCCCGAGACGGCAGACACCAACCAGTACCCGCAAAGCCCGATGATGATCAAGGTTGGTGTGTGGGCTGGCGGTGATTCGAACAATGCCCAGGGCACTATTGGTGAGTGGAAAAGTCCTGAAAATTACTCTCCGCGTGCTTGCTGACAGTTTGTGTTTGTGCAGATTGGGCTGGTGGCCTAACAGACTATAGCCAAGGTCCCTTCATGATGTATATGAAGTCAATGATGGTGACTGATTATTCCACTGGAACCTCGTACAGGTATGGTGACCAAAGTGGCTCATGGCAGTCGATTATCGCGGAGGGAGGCCAGGTCAATGGAAACAAGGGCGCCGAGCCCAAGTCGACCGAGCCTGCACCTGCAATTACTGCAACTATCGACAGCGTCCCAGTTCCCTGGAGTGGAACCCACAAAGAAACCTCAACCTGGGTCACCCCAAATGTCTGGCCCTGGGTGGCGTCCGAAAGCCCCACGGCCGCGTCAACAGGATACCAGTATGACTGGGAATCCAGCTCTGGCCACAACAGGCCACTGGGTGGAGGCTCAATGAGTGAGCAATCCCCTGAATCCCTTTTCGATTAAATTTCCCCGTTAACATGGAATATCTTACTCCACAGTCTACCTTCCGCTTTATGTCAGCAGCATCGCCTTTTTCTTCGGCTGCCTTTTCCCGCTCTGGCGTTGAGACTTCGCGAGAAATCTCGACTTGATTGACGAGGAGAACCGCACGTTCGACAATACCCACTACTGCCTACCATTACTTCTGTTAATACGCTCATTCGACAGACTACAGCCGCAGCTTTCGGTTCTCATATTGCTTCATCGGTGAGCAGTGCGAATAGCCAGCTCCTGCCATGGCATGTGTCTTGTGTGCTCTCTTTGGTCGTGTTTTTGCATCGCGTTTAACGCACCTGCGTTTGTATTATTATTGATGACTTCATCGGACCTGGCGTTGGCTTATTCTTATTGGAGATGACACATGAGCGATGACTTGAATGGCTCACGAAATAGCCACAGCGTTTGGGCGCTTAGAGGCACCTTGTATTCTTGTTTACACTTTACCTTTATCATTCATAGACGTCAAACTGGAATATCCATTTGATTGGACACGCGTGTCCTACATATATAACGACCCTTGTTGCATCCATAGGTAGCTTATTGGACTACCCATAGTCTGGTCGTTAATCAAAAGCCCTATTTTCTATACACATGTCTCTCATATCTACTCCATTCATACAAATAGCTTCAACTTCCACTACGTAAATTTCCAAACCTAGTACAAAGTGTGGTATACACAATTGTTGGAGCGATGATAGAAAGAGAAGTAAGTCATATCTATAGCAAGATATTGCGATCAGAATAGCTCTCGTCTGATGTTCCGGTACCAGAATAGTAACAACTGCTTAAGTTTGGTACACTACATGTATATATTGACAGGATCATGGCATTGAGATATTGAATCGCAACATTAAAATACCTCAGTCAACTGTAAGCATTTCGAACAAACATTAGAAGGCATAAATTAGGACATCACGAAGATTAAGTAAGGGAAAAGAGAGTGTTTTCTATATAAGAAGAGAAAAATAACTAATACCCGACATGCTGCTCAGAATAGGACTAGGAGATAACTATGAGCCATGGCTCTTCAACGGAGCCATCTACGAAATGAAACCTTGAAATGAGTCGCTCCTTCAGAGACAATTCCCTGCTTCAGAGACACTTCACTTTGAAGATCGACTTATTGCTCTCAAAATTCAATCATTCTCAACATCTTTCATTTCCAACAACCGATCCCATACCATCGCTTCCTAACATGAGCGACAAAAGCGTTACTCTCACTGCTCACCGAGCTTTGGCTCTTCCAGAAATTGTGGGTGAAATCCTCTTTTGGGTCGAAAGGGACACTAGAAACACCAGAATATGGCATCTCGGACGTTGCTTACTGAACTGCGCCTTGGTAAACAAGACGTGGTGCCATGAAGCGATACGTATCTTGTGGAGCGACATGGAAGTACATGGGAAATCACTCAACGAGATCATGATACCAATCTCCCCCGACCGCCGCCAGAATTATGCCAACCTTGTGAAGAAGGCAGCGGTATTAACATACAGCGAGGCGACTGAAAAGATAGTACAGCCAGCTTTGGAAAATGTGATCTTCCCGCAGTTACACACTTTACACCTTCTTCTAGTCTTTCGTGACTTGAGCACTGAGGAGTGTATCCGCACCCTAAATTTAAACATACCCAATCTCCGGACGCTTCACATCAATTATTGGATTGCACCCATGTTTCTATATCCTGACCAATGGGACTATCTCACTGAGCGGATTTCGGTTTGTTTTACTAGCTACCATCTGCTGCACCACATGACTAACTGCAACTTCCCCATATCTAGGTGATCTTTCCGGGGTTGCTAAATGTTCGAATTGAGATGCCAGTGATACTTTATCTTTCAGGGTTTGAGGCTCTATCTGAAAGCCTGCCGAACTTGGAATCTATCGAGTTTGAGGATATAGTGTCCCAGTGGGAGGAAACTGATGTCGAGGATTTGGACGATGAGAGTGCGGATGAATTCTGAGGGATCCCATGCAGCTTCTCATCTATACATTGTCTTGATATTGATTGTATTTTGTTTGCGTGGGCTTTTACATTATTTTTGCTTGAACTTAGCTGGTCTTTCATGGATGAGATAAATACAGAAAGCTCTCAATTTTCAGGCGATGCTTCAAGTCATAGATGGGCCGTTGACCTTTTTGTCTTTGGGAAGGCCAACTTAGACCCTCGCTCATTCGTAGAAGTCCGAGTCCATCTATTAATTGCCGTTATTATACCTCCCTATTGATAGGTTGTAGACATTTACTAAGTCCTCTGGTGAGTCCGTCATGTGCCTGTCCTTGCTAAATCGTTCACACCCCCAGGTTCAAAGAAGTCAACTTCACTTCGTTGATGACGATCAGACCATTGCGACCAAGGCAATCCTGATGCTGGTGAAAATGTTCTTGATAGTGCTTGCACTGGCAAACGTTGTCCAAAGTCATCAGACCGCGATGGTTCACAATGTAGACGATCTTCTGGCTCGAGCAATTTCACAAACGACCTTCGGTCGTTTGCATTTCTCAGCGTCGAATGCTGTAGTGCGTCAAGACTGGATCGTCATCCACCCACGATCGACCGCTCGTATCGTAAGACGCGATCTACCTGTTGACATCGCCGTGCTACTGGACTGTTCCGAGCAGTCTCAAAGCAATGAAGTTCTGGTCCAGCAAATTCCAGCTACCTGTCGAATATCTGGTCTTGATAGCTCCTTAATCAGGAATGCCATTGATCAACTCGGTACGGCTCCATTGCTCACGAAAGCAAATGGCCTGGTTCAAGGATTCATTCGCCAGAATGACATCTCAGAACCGCAAGGCTTGAATCCCGATGTACAAGGGATCGCGAACATCAGCAAGAGCAATGTGAAAAGTCTCGGCCTGGTGGACTGGGAGGCAACAGCTCCTGTTGCCCTCACCGTGCAACCTATACAACCACGCCACATGCTCAGGCCCGATTGGACCTACCTCATGATTGGAATGACGGGCGCTATGGGGATATCTCTTTGCCAGTGGGCAATACGAAACGGAGCTAGATCAATTGTTCTCACAAGCAGAAATCCTAGCGTGGATGAAGATTGGCTCATCGAGACGCGCTCACTTGGGGCAGACGTACAGGTGTGGCCGATGGAAATCGCCAGCAGAGCTGCAGTTGGGTCTGTCATCTCCCGGATCAACAGCACGATGCCTCAGCTTGTAGGGGGCTGTAACGGCACCATGGTTCTCAATGACAAACTTTTCCTGGACATGGATGCGCAAGGAATGAATGCGGCCCTCGAGCCCAAATTTCGCGGGTCTCAAATCATTGATAAGGTCTTAGGAGACCAAGACCTGGACTTCTTTATTCTCTTGTCGTCCTGTGCGATGCCCATCGGAAATCCCAGCCAAACGAATTACCACGCCGCGAATTTGTACATGGCCAGCCTTGCTGCCAATAGACGGACCCCCAGGTCAGCTGCCTCCATCATCCATCTTAGTTATATCGCCGATGTGGGGTATGTCACTCGACAAGATCAGAGCATGCGAGAGCGACTTGAGCAACTTCCGTTCTGCCCGCTCTGTGAGTCTGACATTCACAACACATTTGCGGAAGCAATCAGAGCTAGCAGGCCCAACGGTCGTGATGATCCTTTCGATTTCGCAATAAACATGAGTCCTTGCAGGGAATATGTTCCTCCGAACTTTTGGGATATCACCACATCATCATGGACGCTTTCAGTCTCTCCATTTTCTTCCGGGATCTACATACAGCATATCAGACTGGTACATTACAACGGAGGTCTGTCGACTACATGGACTTGGTGACCCAAGAACGAATGCTTTCGGAGGACCAACTTGATGACCTCGACACTACAGCAAAATTTCAGTTCCGGAAGAACGAATTCACCGAACCAGTTGATATCCTGAGTAGACGGCAACGAAATTTATCGTGGATCCGACGATATCTACAGAGTGGCCCTTCAAGCGCTTGTACCGCACAGGAGATCAAGGACGTCTGCTCGAAGACGGATCTTTGCTATTCATGGGCCGCCTGGACGGCAACACTCAGATCCAGTTGAATGGCGTCCGCATTGAGTCGGAGAAGGTCGAAGGCGCAATCTTAGCTGGATCTGACGGCAAACTGTCGACAGCAGTTGCAGCGGCGCACAAAGACCGTCTGCTTGCGTATGCGACATTAACAACTGGAATATCTTTGACAGAGACAGAAATCAAGCAGCTACTGATCTACGCATCTCTTCCCTTACTGACCACTATGCAACCCTCCAAGCTGATCATCATGGACACACTGCCGCTTACGTCCGCTGGGAAGATTAATCAGGAGGCAATTCAGGATCTCGCCATGTCGGGTCAACCGAACCGACCTATTTCCAGCAGCGGAACAATAAACAGACTGATATTGCGTCAGGGAGAACTCCGGCTACTCTGGAAAAAGGTTCTCGGTGGCCCAGATCGATCATTCGGTCACGAAAGCGATTTCTTCCATGTTGGGGAAACTCAGTGGCCCTCATGCGCTTGCAAGGAGCCATAAGAGAGTCGATAAACGTTGTAGTCTCTACCAGGCAAGCACGCTTTCTGAGAGGACTGCTCGAATCCAAGTCTAGCAGGAGCAAAGCCAAGTCGACCAGCCACAAGATGAGATTTCATGGGACACTGAGACAGAAATTCCAGCTATTGTTCGGGATGCTCTAAGGCAAGTTTCGACCCGTCGTAATGATGTTAAAAGTCCTAAGAAACATGAGATTGAGATTCTCCTCACGGGTGCCACATCTTTTCTTGGTGGAGCCATTTTAAGAGCTCTTGTTGAGCTGTGAAATTGGATCCGGTCGTCATAGAATCCATGGATGAGCGCGGCAGAGCCCTGCGTGAGGAAATCGATCAGTACATTCAGCAAAGCGATGACTATAACCAGAGCTTCGGCGTTGAAATGGGTCACCGCTACGAGTTGAGTCTGGCAGTACTGAACGGGCAGGTGGATGTTGAAAAGGCAGCACCACAGTTCGACTCACGCAACTATGTACATCCCAACTACCTTTCCTGGTTCGCGGGTACCGCACGTGGCTTTGTCGGATGGCAGCGCCATTTCCGATGGATTCGGGAAAGGCTGCACCATGGTTGCGTTTCTGCAGAAAGAAGCAGTAGCAGCCGGAGACCAATGTCAGGTGCCCATCGCACTGGTCAGTTTTGAAGAAGCAGCACGCCAACACAGTATTCCTTTAAAGAGGCTTTGTTTGATGAATGAGACTCATGCGTTCCGAATTTGGGATGCTTGTCTTGTCCTCGTGCGGCCTGATGGATTTTTAGCGTGGCGCTTAGATGGTATGGATAAGGTGCACAATGCATCACTTGGAAGTGTTGCTTCAAGCAACAGGTCATACCTCACCTTTGTAAGCAAAACCCTCCGAGAAAGAGACGATCGAACATAGAACGGAATGGAAAGAATTAACCTCAATTAATCACGATCTTCATTTCGCGACGTAAATCGTCCTGTGAACTTGCTCTATCAAATAGTTGGAACCAAAAAGGCCGAAAAGTCCAGGTACTTGGGGTCCTGACTTCAGTCAGTAGTGCTATGTAAGAGGCGCATATTTGGTAATTTGTACTTACCATTGCGCCAAAATTCAGGCCGTCAAGAAGCCCATTATCGATCACGTCTTGTGACACTTCTCGGGGCGTGTTGGCGGCCCTGTAGGACTGTAGTACATCATAACACTCCTTCAGGCTGTCTTTTGCAGTGTTCAGCACAGCAGACAAAATAGGTTGGCCGCGTTCCATGGCGTGTATCTGGGAAAGAATGCCAGCAAGAAAGATGTAGCGTTTCAACGTAGGATGGCCCAACTTTACGATCTGCAGTAATTGTTCGTTGATGTGTTCCAAAAGTCGAATGATGGGCGCTCGCTGGCCGCGCGCCAGTTCAGCGAGAGGATCAAGGACCAATGTGTGGTTGAGACCAACCGAAGCAGATGACAGACCGAAACCCGTTTCCTCCAGCTGAGACACAACCTCCAAGCCCAAGACTGAAATTACGTCCAGGCTCAAAGGTCCGCGAAATGACCCTGTGCTCATCACCATCAACTTGGACAGATCGTCAAGAGAGTCTGCAGGTAGCCGAAGTCGCTCGGCATAAGTGGCGATAATCATTGCAGACTCCTGACAAACCCTCCGGGAAAAATAGAAGCGGGGGTCCTTTTGCGCTTGTAGCATGAAAGGCCGATGCAGAACCAGAATATACCGACGAATCTGCATATCAAGGAAAGCGTGATGCATGCCTAGGAATTGCGACCAATGCGACCGACAATAGCTTGCAAGAGTACGGCAAGCTGTCTGAAGTTTCGTAGCTAGCTCAATGGCAATTTCGTATGAGTGCTCTAATCGCTCGTTTTGGACCGCCCTGACAACTTCAAGTCGTATCGGCAGGGACTGACGCATGAGAATTTGTATCGACGATTCCGTATAGCTTGTCAACGGTTGTGGAGATGGAGACTGTTTGCTGGCTGAATCTAAATCAGCATCGCTGACATTAAGAGGCATATGATCGTCAAAGTCGTTCGAAGAAAGAAGCAAAGGGACGGAACTATCCATGGAACCATGGATTACGAGCTCTAGGACTGTTGTCCAAAGCCTCTTTCGTATCCCGGCTTGAAAAGGAGACAGAGAAAACAGTTGTGGATCTCGGTGCAGGCCCATGGCCATAGCCGCCCGAAGTAGACCACTTTCCGACAGCCACGGTGAGCGGCCGACTAATGTTATCTGCCGCGAAACCAATAGAAGACAGAAAATTTGAATTCCATCAAGATTGTTGGTAGTTTTCTCTGACGGTCCAACCATCCAGTATTGAGCAGCTTGTATCCAAGTACGCCGCGAGCGCTGTAGAACTTTGTCGTCGTCATTGCTGAAGACGCTTCCAATGGCCAACACCAAACCCAACTTGATTGCAAAGTTTGTAACTACAGGCTGCGGCTGGCTGAAGTATTGTTCGTATTCTGCCCAGAATGTGGGAATGTGAAAACAACGATAGATCAACTCGAAAGTCCGCATGTAGTGATTCACCAGTCGGTCACAGATGGAACGAGCCGGCATTGTACTCAGAAGTTGAGGAACGGGGTCATCCATCTGCGGTGCCTGCTCATTTTTCATCGTGAGTCGCAAGTTGCGTATCTCATTTACCGAATCGGCTAGCTCGGCCTTGGTATCCACGAAGGTCAATTCAACGTCGCTGTCTCCAACATGACTGATTCTGAACTATTGACATGTCAGCCAACGTTCAGTCAGTCAATGTGTTTATTAGAAATGAGCCTCGACAATACCTTCTCAGCAGTGTGCAGCCAGTGGCTTGAAGGAAACAGTTTTACCTTCTTCGGGTTGTGACGAAGTCGAGGGATGACAGACGGAATTGTTAGAGACTTATCGCCCGTGATAGTTGAAGGCGCAGGACGAGCTTGGGAGAGCTCAGCAAGCCGCTGCTCGACGTGTTGGAGGCGATCAGACAATGCCAGCAGCGTGAGATGATTGTTGCTGCTGCTGCTGAGGCTGTGCTGCTGGGGATCGACTTCTGGTACAACCGAGTGCTCAAGCTCCTGTACACGTCGCTCTACGCTCCGAATTCGTTCCGATTCATTCGTTTTTCGTTGCCTCTTTGCAGGGTGATCGATGTTGTTGTTTGGGGCAATGCTGAGCGAGCGAGGAACTTGTTGTTGGACATTATTGCCCTCGCTTCCACGATCTTCCAGGGCGAGACTGGGTTGCTGCTGATCTCCTTGATATGCGCACGTCACCGAGCTTCTGGAGACTTGACAGGCTGAACATGGCGATTTGAGATCGCAACGTACCTTTCGGCGGCGGCACGGGTCGCAGGATTGCGCAGGTCGGCGGCTCCGACGAGCGAGTGAAGGTGCCGACCGGGTACTGCCAAAGCTCTGATCCTCAGTCATCTTGACGACAGTCCAAACTGCAGGTATTGAATGTGCGGTCAACGGACATCAATGATGTTGGAAAGCTCGGAGGGAAAGCTCGGGGTCGGCAAGCTACTGAAGTGAGGTCCATCTTGCTCTCGGACTCGGGCCCGGGTCCGGGCTCGGGGCTCGGACATAAAGCCCACTCCTCTAAACGTTCGCCCACCTACCGATCAATTCAACCTCCTCAGTACAGGTATTTTCATACAGCCCTTATTGGTGTCAACAGCTAGGCTGCGAATCCCTTGCCGATCATTGCTGACACAATGTCGTCGCTTTTGATCGTCAGACATAGCCTTCGCTCCTAGGCGTCAATGCAACGTTTCTTCTTTAGATTTCCAAGTTGTGCTGGTCCGTTGCAGGAATTTAGAAACGAGTGAAACGCGGATATACAATAAAGAGTTGCAAGGCATGGATCTGACATTTTGGCATCTAACATTCAAGCTAATGTTCTCAAGTTTGAGCTAACGTAATTCTTGTCGAAAGCTCTGTTACAATGACTGGAAACCCGAGTACATATTCCCTATAATCTGAGAATTCTCGACTATAACACTAACCTGTCTGGGAGCGTTCGACCACATGTATATACTTTAATACCTTTTGGGAATTTCGGACCATAAGGACGACAATCTTGGAAGTTGAACATCTTCGTCAGGAGGTAAGATGAAATTCCCAAAAAATACATAGTCATTAGAGCACTCTCTTCTCCCTCTATTTTCTCTGAAACAAACGGCTAGAATAGTAGGTTTCGAACGATACCTAACAGTCCCAATTTGCCTTATAGAATCTTGAGTAAGTCGAAGCCCACCCCAACGTCTTGTATCCATTGCTTCCGTCACCACCGCCCAGGCCGTCGAAGTATGCCTGTTGGCTACTGAACCTAGGAAAGAGTTGATTGTCGGGGCTGACTGGCATCATGGCTGATGACTGCAAAATGCTAATGGTATGGCGTCCGTGGAACGTTCGTCGGTTGCTACCTGGATTCTTTCTGCCGCTCATGTCCGCACGATGCACATTGTTGAGGATTTTGACGTGGCTCATTCGAGTCTCTGATAGACGTCAGTTAATAATTCTCGACTTGACCATAGTGTCTTGGGAGTACCGAATTACTGAACAAGCTTCTTCGCGACGAAGTAGCCAACAGTGCCGAACAAACCGATCTTGAGAAGCGCCATCCCTCTTCTGGGTCCGTATGCTTGCAACGGAAAGTTGGCTCGAGCAAAGAGTTGTCTGGCATGAAATCGACTGGATCGGCGAGTAGGATAGTCCATGATTTGTTGTTGAATGATTCCTTAAAACCTCGTAGGTGGACGACGAATGTTTATAGGTAAAAACATTTAAGCCGGCTCCGGAACTCCAAGGCTGATCGGGGTCGGCTTTCCTTTTGAATAGCTCGGCCGCGGATTCGGCCTCGGGTGTGCAGCAGTGCCTTTGCGTACATCACCAATGAACAGCATCGGACGTCCGATCTTTTACTCGACGTCGGGTATTACTAGCGACAGCATATATGTCCGACCTCCTTTTATACGCAGAGCTTGGCCTCTTGCCGGAGGTATATAGCATTGGCCATATTCCTTAGAATCGGGCTCGTTATTTCAATCGACGTCACAAGCCCAACTATCTTTTGCGCGCCCTATTAAGCACCCCCCAGCAACTATGCACGACGACCGCACCGCTGAGCTCGAGAAGGGCAGTCCAACCTCTTTAAGACTATCGAGTCCAGCGGAGCCCGTGCCTCAAGTATCTGGCCCACCAGCAGTACCTGAAGGAGGCACAAAAGCCTACCTATCGCTACTCGGAGGCTCCTTGGGCCTTTTCATCTCATTTGGATGGGTCAATTGCATTGCTCTGTTCCAAGCTGAATATGAGACCAACCAGTTGAAGACCTATAGCAGCTCGGAGGTGTCCTGGATCACTTCGTCCGAATGTGAGAGCCTTCTTCCCCAACCGGCCGTGAAACAACAAGCTCATTTCAATCTAGTTTTCTTTATGCTGTTTATATCACCGTTGTCTGGATATCTATTTGACAACTATGGACCACGATTGCCGATCTGTATCGGTGGATTGATGCATGTGTTTGGACTCATGATGACCAGCTTGTCAAGTAAATACTACCAATTCTACTTGGCACAGTCGATTTGCTCAGGAACTGGCACATCGCTTATTTTCACTCCGGCAATGACTTCGGTTTGTGTGATCACTCTTGGAATTTATCGCTCATTTTCTGACAAGCTTCACAGCCTATGACTTACTTCAGAAAGCGCCGAGCTTTGGCAGGAGGATTGACCGTTGCAGGCTCGAGTCTGGGTGGTGTAATCTTTCCCCTTATGGTCAACAAACTCCTTTCGGAGGTCGGCTTTGCATGGACGATGCGAATCTGCGCTTTCTTGATCCTTGGGCTCTGGGCTATTGCCATGCTCACCATCTCCTCCAACTTGCCTCACACTCGCAAGGAGTTCAACCTTGCGAACTACCTTCGGCCTTTCACGGAATTCAACTTCTTGATCTTGTTGACGTTCTGCTTTTTCCTTTATTGTGAGCCGACTATCATCATGTTTCATCGTAACACAGCTAACCAGGGTTTAGGGGGATTGGTTGTCCCTTTCGACTACCTTGTCCTGTCTGCTATGCATAACGGAATGTCAATGACTATGGCCTACAATCTGATTCCCATTATGAACGGAGCGAGCTTTTTTGGACGGACGATTCCCAATGGCCTTGCCGACAAGTACGGCCGTTTCAATGTGCTTATCATCATGCTCGTTTTCACTGGTGTCATCACTCTGGCCTTGTGGCTGCCTGGTCGCAGTAACGCGGCCAACATTGTCTTCGCCGCTTTGTTTGGTATCGGATCTGGCACCACCATTGGCTTGACACCGCCCCTTGTGATGACTCTCTACCCCCCTCAGGAGATCGGATTTCGAATCGGGTTGGCTCTTGCTATCGCAGGCATTGGTGCCCTTACGAGCCCTCCGATAGCTGGTGCAATTTTAGGGACAGGTGGAGGCTCTTTCCGCTTTGCGGCCTTGTTCAGTGGCGTGAACTTTATGGTCGCGACAATCCTTTTGGTGTGGCTGAGGGGTAGAGTTTCTGGTTGGAATGCCCTCACAAAAGCTTGATGCCTAAGCAAGGGCACTGAGTGCAGCAGCCTGCTGCAACTACAATATTTGGTGAAGAAGAGGAGACTGGCGTGGAGGCAGAGAAATATAAATCGGCACAGGCGTGATATGAACACGATCTTACGGCGGTATGGCAGAATCCCTTCTATATAAATACAGAGATTTTAGTCTTGCATTTGAATCAATCCCTGTAGACGAACAGACGATATATATAGATTTAGAGAGTCCGGAAATTGATTTTATGACTATTAAGATCATTACCTCTTCGATACGTGCTTGTTAAACCAATTTATAGATTATATCTACATATGTCAAATACTTAAATATACCTTATAATTTGATCTAGCTGATTCTCTCCAGTCATTAGCGAGAACAAGGTAGTAAATATATACTAATCGTACTAAGTAGAATATATAGACACCTACGACGTCTACTATAATCAGAATCGATCCATCCATGGATATGTATGATATTAATAAGCAGCTTACCAAGGTTGCGTTGCCCCACCTAGGCAGGTGTGAGTGGTCCACTCACAGGTCCATTGGTTCACGCATTCCAAGGTCCACGGGTTGATTTTCCGATTATTCAACATCCCGACTCGGCCTGGTCATATAATCATCGTATCGCCTCTGCTTTTGTCATGCTGCTTAATTTCTAGCTACATACTTTTGATCTAACTCAAGCTTTTCCTACATATTTAATTTCAGACAATGAGTGAAGAAACGGCTAAATCGAGTGGTCGCAAACGCGGTCGCCCTCGAAATGTGACTGACGATCAAGAAGTGCCAGAGGTGGGATCCCAACGCTCTAAGTGCCGAAAGTTTATGTACTCACTAATTACTAGAAACGTCGCAAGCAACTCCGCCTTGCGCAGCAGGCATATCGCAAAAGAAAGGAGACCACGATCGGCAACCTGCAGAATCGCGTACACGAATTAGAAACTGGTATCGAGAAAATCAGCCACTCTTTTCTCTCCTTCAGTAATCTTCTTATAGAAGAGCAACTCCTCTTACAATATCCGCATATCGCATCGGCCCTCCAAGACATAACTCAGCAATGCGTGTCGCTTGCAAAGGCTGGGAGTGAGGAATCGACGGAGAGCGCACTCCCTCTCGTTCGGACCCCAAAAGAATCTCAAATTACAAATAATAATACAACCTCAACATCAGTTCTGGATAATCCACACTCGGAAGCTTCAACGGATGTCGAGGACATAATACAATCAGCTGCTACGAGCTGGCCTGGCCCTCCTACTCCACCATATCAAGATCGCTCAATCCTGCCGTTTGACCTCGTCATGCCATCACCTACTGTTCAGTTTCCTTATACCAGTCCACCTTTATCGGACTGCTCATCAACACTCGGCCTACTCTCTAGTAATATAACGCCTGACAAGCAGTGGAATATCGCACAACGTCTAGTCCGGGCTTGCTGTCAAAAAGGATACCGCTTTCTCGTCAACAGCCCCGACGATTTCCCAGTCCAGCAGTGCATATTTGGGTCTGCTCTGAGTCTAGCAGACCGCAATAGGTTGATCTCGGGCTTTTACGCCGTCATACAAGACAAGACCGGGGAATTGACAAACTCCAAGGCTAATGTGCTTCACGCCCTGCGGTCCAATATGAACACATTCTCGAATGAACAACTCCAGCTCTCCTCTAAAATATGGCAGATTGCTCTCGAATCAGCTTCTGGTCACTGGATGGATGCCGGCGAAGTGCAAGAATACCTGCGCGACAAGAGAGCAATCTTTGAGAGCTTCCCTGGCTCCTCTGGCCGTCTCGATTATACAGTCTCGCCATCACTTGATATAACGTCCTTCATAAAATGTGAGTTCGTGGGAACAGAATGTCTCGAAGAAGTCTACTAACGCCACTGTAGTCCTCTCACATGATGCCATATGCGTTGGGAACGGACCGGCATTCCGACGACAGAGCGTTGAAAAAGCCCTTCGTCAGGCAACGATTAGTGTGCCCTGGGATTTCGATAATCTTTGTGATTTATAGCACATATCTTTACCTGTAATATAGTATAATGCACACACGAACGCAGCCCACATGGCCCGGAAACTCAAGCAATTTACCGTCGCCTATTTTGTTGTATTGGCAGCGGCTTCTCCCAAGTTTGCAAAAGTTTGCAAAACAATGCTCCACCCATCCATTATTTAATTTCCACATTAACTATGCGAGTCTGCTAATTCGGCCCCAGGGCAATCGAGCAAGACTATCCTGAGTCCCCGCACTAATATGCAATCACTTTCACAGTCAATTGTTAATGTTCTTTTGAAGCCCGAACGCGTAAGCTGAATCCCCGCCAAGACTTGGCTCTGATCGTCTACGGGTAAACCGACGGTTGCCCCGCAAAGTCCATAATGAATTCGCGCTCACGTTCACCGGGTATGTATTGCCCAAGTGGACGCTTGGCACGGCCACTATAGTGTATACCTAATCGGATCATTATACTACCTAGGTATAGCGTAGTAGTGGTTATTAGTACAACATACGGGGTGGTCACTAAGCTAATAACGTGTATGTAGGCCAAGTCACTAGTTATCGAGGTATATATTAGTCTAGAGATAAGGCCGCTAGGTACGAAGTACATATGTGCATATCTATATTTCCAAGGTTGTATGTTATATACTAATCATGGCAAGCCACCAACACCGGACCGGGTAGTGCGTTGGTAGGCTTGCCAGAATCATTGCTCCTTACCGATGAATTGCCCTAATCGCTATTCTGTAGGCTAAACTAGCTTCGGTGGTCAGATTTCTTGTGGATTTGACCGAAACGCTGCTAGACTAAGGGACATGATAAACAAAAGAGTCCACGGGTGCGAACACTGGCTATTTGTTCGTCCACTTGAGTCACAGAGCAATCGAATAAATTTACTACCTATTTGCGACTCTCGCACAAGCCGCCTAGCATGCGACTACCCCTCATAGCTAATTGTTCGACAGACATCCCTTCTAACCTATATAAGACGTGTAATATCCCCCTAGATAAGGCTGAAACCCCCCTGCTCCTTCCCCGGCCCGGGCGCCAAGTTTTGGGCTTTTGTCGTAGGACGAAGATGCGCCACAAATTGTGTGATAAATTCCGAATATTCACACTTTGTTACTAGTAAGAGTATATTAATATCAAATTAATATGGGATATATGCTATAGTTATATCTAATCTCCTCATATCATAATGGGGCAATGGTTATTAATACTAGGCGTGAGTTGGTCGCTACACTGATAGAGTATACTCCGTAGCTAATGTTCTATTTGGTTACTGATGCATATTAGCTTAGAGATAAGGCCGCTATATTCATACTGCATATGTATGGATACTGCGGAGTATCATTGGAATAGTTACCGATCCCTCGGGTGTTTATAATAGTAAATACAAGCCTTGTACGGAGTACTCCGTACTCCGTACCTACATAAGGGCCCTCTTCCTATTCTTCCTGATTCATTGCGCTGATCACTACTCCATCCGCTGAAATGTCTTAGGCGGTCAGATCTCTAGTAAGTTTGATCAAATACGGGCTGCTCGAATAAGGGATGCTGGTAAGCGAAAATAGAGTGCTGACCGGTGATTTATCTTATTTTTCATACTAGTACATAACAAAGGACACGGAGCTCCGACGTGGTTGAAGATGGTTTGGGAAAGTATTTAAGCGCTTTGGAACAGACTCTTACAACATAATTCAACAATCAAGCTATGAGATAGCGCTAGCACCACCTGGGTAATTATGACCGGGCTACCCTGTATGTCCGAGCGAGCTCTAAGGTCAGCTCAACGCTAGCGATACATTTGCCCTTTAACTCTCATGTCAACTACTATAGTGTAATCCAGTTACATTGGTGCAGACAGACTGATATGGAGGCTGGGTCTTATTGGACAAACCCTGTCATTTGCCTTATCTGGCACCTGGGACCGAGCATCGGGTCATGGATAGTGGTTGGATTATACCACAAGTCTATACAGAGGCGTTGTTCATTGAATGTATAAAGTATGGCTATGCCCTCGTAACCCAAGACGGTCAATCAAGACTTGTTGACAATCGCAGGCTATCAGCAAACACCCTGCATTGGTATCACCTAGGGCCCACCTAGATTGATTCTCGCCATGGCAGACTCAGAGAAAGATAGTCCTCCCTACGAAAGTACCACAAAGACCCATTTTGATGTGGAGAAAATCCAGCCCATTGTCGAAATCTCCAACACAGATCTCTCAGACTTGTTGGATACCCTTCGTGAAACCATCAAAGATCATGAGCTGGATCCCAACTTTCCCACTGAGATCCTCAACTCGGCTCGTGCTGCGCTGCAAGAGACACCCGACAAGCTCGATGCAACCCGTATTCAGAGTATTGTAGCTCAGATACAGGCTGAACGTGACCTTCTTCTCAATGATTCCCCTTACGCTGAAGTTCGTGCAGTCGTCGACAACACCGATGATCCTTCGACACCAGTCAACACCTTCCGTGCCTGGTCCCTCGGCATCCTCTTCACAATCTTGGGCACTGGCATAGATCAGTTCTTCTCTTTGCGGTATCCCGGAATTTATCTCTACACTGTTGTTGCTCAGTTGCTCGCTTATGCCTGCGGTGTGTTCATGGCTCGAGTTCTACCCACCACCTCCTACAGTGTCTTTGGGAAAAACTTCAGCCTCAACCCAGGCCCTTTCAACCAGAAGGAGCACATGCTCATCACCGTCATGTCCAATGTCGCATACGGAGGTCTCAATGGAACCGCATACGTGACCTACATCTTCCAGGTTTTGAAGCTGGACATGTTTTATGGAATGAAAGAATTGGCCAACAGCGCAGGGTTCCAGATTCTGTTGACACTATCCACCCAGTTGATTGGTTATGGGTGTGCTGGCATAGCACGTCGATTCTTGGTCTACCCTCCCGCTATGATGTGGCCCAAGAACCTGGCCCAGATTGCCCTGAACCGAGCCCTGCACAATGATGGTGCTTCAGGTTCGATAAACGGATGGTCGATGTCTCGCTATCGTTTCTTCCTGTACTGCTTTGGTGCAATGTTCTTCTACTTCTGGTTCCCCGACTACATCTTCCAGGCTTTGTCGTACTTCAATTGGATGACTTGGATCGCACCGGAAAACGTCAAACTGGCTATCATCACTGGCTCGATTGGTGGAATGGGGTTCAATCCCCTCCCTACCTTTGATTGGAATATGATCTCATACGCATTTGACCCAGTTGTCACTCCGTTCTTCTCGTTGGTGAACAACGTGATCGGCATGGGTTTTGTTGGCATTGTGATCATTCTGCCTGTTTATTTCTGCAACGTGTGGAATACTGCTTACCTTCCCATCAACAGCAATGGGATTTTCGACAACACCGGCTCCAGCTATAACGTTAGCCGCATCCTCAATTCGGAATTTACTCTTGACGAGGCTGCTTACGCGGAGTACGGCCAAGCCTACCTTGGTGCTGCTAATTCGGTCCTGTACTCTGCCTTCTTTGCTATCTACCTAGCGACAGTTGTGTACGCAATATTATACCACAATCGAGAGATCATGACTGGCTTCCGTGCGGTACTCAAGTGGACTAGTGCCAGAGATGAGTACGACGATGTGCACAACCGTCTCATGCGCGCGTACAAAGAGTGCCCAGAATGGTGGTACTTGAGTATCCTCGCAATCGCGTTCATTATGGGTTGCGTTTGCTGCAGTGTCTACGACACCGGCATGCCGATCTGGGGAATCGTCATTGGGCTGCTGCTTTGTGTTTTCTTGCAGATCCCCATCGGAATCATTATGGCTGTCACCAATGTTGAGGTCACCAACAATGTTATTGCCGAGTTTATCGGTGGATATGCTGTGCCAAACAACCCAGTCGCAAACATGATTTTCAAGTCATATGGCTATATCGCGTCAGCACAGTCTATTCAGTTTGCAGCTGATCTTAAATTGGGTCATTATATGAAAATTCCTCCCCGCACAATGTTTGCCGCCCAGACTGTGGCCACTGTCATTGCTGGGTTTGTGTCGATCGGAGTCAATGCCTGGCAGCTGTCCAATATCAAGGATATTTGCACTTCTCATCAATCGGCAAACTTCACATGTCCTGGTAAAGGCTCTCCAGTCATGAAACTACCATAGAGAAAGATTGCTAACTCTTCTAGGCTCCCACACATTCTTTACTGCCTCCATTATCTGGGGAGTCATTGGCCCCGCGCGCATTTATGGTGACAGTGGCATCTACCACCCTCTAGAATGGGGATTCCTTGTCGGCGCTCTTCTCCCTATCCCCACCTACTTCCTTGCTAAGCGTTTCCCCAACTCTTGGGTCCGCTACGTTCATATTCCTCTTCTGCTGAACGGCGTTCTTTGGTGGGCCCCGTACAATTTCACTTATGCTTGGCCAGCTCTCGTAGTCGGATTTGGTTTCAACTACTACGTGAAGCGCCACTACGAGAGGTGGTGGCAGAAGTATGCTTACGTGCTTAGCTCCTCGTTCTCCTGCGGAATTGGTATTGCCGGCCTGATAATCTTTTTTGCTGTTCAGTTCAAGGCCGTTGATATAAACTGGTGGGGCAATAACGTGCCGTATGCTGGTTGCGATAATAATGAATGTCCCTTGTTGCCGATTCCAGAAATTGGACATTTCTGAGGTTGGTAGTAATAGTTAATGGCTAGGAAGTTATCGTTATATATTATTGAAGTTACTACCGTGGTTTCGTGATATATTTCACTGTGTCAACAGTGTTTACCATTCCATCTGCTTGTTCTTTCCTTCACCCCATTAAATTCTTAGGATATAGTGGATCGGGACATATACTGATACATTAACTTTCAGCGTCTTCAAGTTCTTGCATATTCAATCCAGTGCAACATAGTGCAAACTTTCATCTTGTATGAGTCAATTATATAGGAAATGAACTATATACCATGGCGCTACCCATCTTTTCTCCTAGGCCAAAAAAGCCGTATTGTTGTTGCTCTTAAGATCTACTATATGGGCGTGTCAATGTAATACAACTAAGCATGCTGATATTGCACATTCTTATCTCCTATCTCAGCTTTGTATGAACAAGCGATATTTTCTACGCCCTTCGGCGGCATGTGGGGCTCCGGAGCTTCGGGTAGCATCGCAAGAGCCTATGGGTTGTCATTGGCTCGGGTTGACTCACTCTTGTTTTTAAGGATCAGACCTCTCGATCTTTGAACAAAGTTGTTATAGAGCCAACCTTAAAACTTGACTCATTGCGCTTCGGATCTGTGTTTAAATTGTTCTTCTCCCACTGAAGTTGTGGTGTTCCTTATCCCATCACTTTCCCCAAGGTTCCTTGAATTCTCCATTCTCCATCATGACCTCGACAAGTCAATCAACTCCTTTTGGCAAGCCGATGCTGAAGCATTGGATGTTCGATCCCGCCTATAAGAACCTAAACCATGGATCATTTGGTGCCCATCCAATTCCAGTTAAAGATGCACAGCGTGCCTTCATGGATATCGCCGATGTGCGACCAGATCCATATATCCGCCGACACCACTCAGAGTATCTGGACAAAGCTCGTGAAGCTGTCGCAAAGATCCTCAACGCTGAGCGGGACGATTGCGTGTTTGTTAAGAATGCGACTACAGGCGTGGCGACTGTACTGTATAACTTGAATTTCCAACCAGGTGAGGCTCTCATTTACTTTGAGCCTGTCTACGGTGCTGTTGAGAAGGGCGTTGTCTCGCTACAAGAGCACAAGTCTTTCCAATCCCGAAAAGTGTCTTTCCAGTTCCCCATTACCGAAGACGAGCTAGAACGCCGTTTCCGAGAGGTGATTCGCCAGGCTCGTGAGGAGGGACTCAAAGTCCGGGCTAGTGTCTTCGACGCCATCGTCAGCAATCCGGGTGTGCGGTTCCCCTTTGAACGGATTACTGCAATTTGCCGCGAAGAGGGTATTTTGAGCGTCATCGATGCTGCGCACGGCATTGGAAATATCCATCTCGATATGAAGAAGCTACAGCCTGACTTCTTCGTGTCAAATTGTCACAAGTATGAACTATCCCCTATTATTTTACCCTTTGTGATAAATTGAGCACACATCGAATATTAACTCGACTTTAAAAGATGGCTCTACACACCCCGTAGCTGTGCAGTGCTCTACACGCCCCGGCGTAACCAGCATCTAATGCGCACTACTATGCCGACATCTTGGGGATTTATCCCAGCCCCGGAGTCTCCCGAGACAATCGCCTCAGTGCTCAGTGACCCCAACGCCCCCGTGAAAAAGACTGCTTTCGAGCAACTCTTCGAGTTCGTCGCCACGAGTGATGACTCCGCGTACATCTGCGTCCCGGCCGCGCTGAAATTCCGCACCGAGGTCTGTGGAGGTGAGGATGCAATTATTGCCTACACTCACCGTGTTGCAAATGAAGGCGCAGACGCTGTTGCTGCCACTCTCGGTACTGAAGTCATGCAAGAACCTGATCTGAAGCCTGGCCAGGAGAGCCGCATGCGCCAGTGTGCCATGACTACAGTCAGGCTCCCTATTGCTGTTGCACTTACTGGAAAGGAGACTGAACCCCTTAACCATACCCCTTTGGTTGTATTGTCCGAGGAAGAAGCTCCCAATGCATTTTCTTGGATTCAGACGCAGCTCTTGGACAAGCATGACACTTTCCTGCCCGTTTTCCGCCATGGACCTTGGCTATGGACACGTCTGAGTGGCCAGACTTACTTGGAGACAAGTGATTTTGAATCTGTTGGTGTTGTCTTGCGCGACCTTTGTGAACGTGTTGCGAAGAAGGAGTTCAAGGCTTGATCTGGCTGTCTATATTTAGCACTGATTGAGTAGCAACAATTACAAGTAATTAGTGCATTCATAACCATGTTCGTATTAGGATCAGCAAATAGGTAGTGTGAATGAACTACAATGGAAGTAACCCTTCGTAGCAAACTCCAGCCATTCCATATTTTTCCGGCAGTTGAATTTAGGAAGTGGAGTCGGAATTAAATATTATTACTCACTCAAGCTGCTTTCTTTTCGGTGAAGACTATTTGGAAAATATGTTGCCTTTCTTCCCGCATATGACACCAGAAGCGGGGTGTGTACGTCCTTTATATATACCACTATCAAATCCCGGTGTCTGAATAAATCTATTCAAAACATACTAAATTTACTATGTCTGTTGCAAAGGAATTCGAAGCAGCTAATGCCAATTATGTCGCATCTTTCACCAAGGGTGACTTGCAGCTACCCCCACAGCGGTATGTTGATAGCGCTCGTTCTAGCTCCAATTTTTCCTATACCAATATCCCAAAAAGACATATCTGACTCTGTTTCTTCGTTTCTAGAAAGGTAGCCGTGGTGGCTTGCATGGACGCACGCCTTGGTACGTACACTCCGCGGTACATCTGATACAAGAGAATGATACTCACACCTGCTATTTACTCTATAGACCCTGCCCGCGCCCTTGGTCTTGAAGAAGGCGATGCCCATGTAATCCGCAATGCTGGTGGGAGAGTCTCAGACGCCCTGCGCAGCATCATCATTTCGCAGCAGCTGCTCGGAACTCGTGAGATCGTCATCGTGCACCATGTACACAGCCCCTACAGACAATTGAGACCGAGCCTTAATCATGGCTTACATCTTATTCATTTTGAATCAATTGCTGATGTATTTGCAGACAAATTGTGGAATGCTCACTTTCACCGACCAGGTAATTAGAGACAAGATCCGTGTGGATCTACACCAGAATGTCGACCACATTGCGTTTCTACCATTCGGGGATCTCGAGCAGAGTGTTCGGGATGATATTCGGCTATTGAAGGATAGTCCTCTTGTTTTGGATGTCCCCATTACAGGATATGTGTATGAAGTTGAAACTGGGAAGATTGTCCAGATTGCGGAGAATCAGTAACTGACACTATTGACATTGTGGTATGTTGAGCTTCGATGCTGAGGTATAGAATACACAGCGATATATGAATTAGCTTTATTCATGCTAGTGGCTTTTGGGACAAAAATCACTATTATCGTGATACCTCGGTTTACCTCTTCTACAGCTTTTCGAGTAGCCTCTACCTAATTATACTATTTTATATAAGCAAAATGGCTTTGTAAAGGATGGGTCACACTTAAAGCATGAGGTTTCCACTTTGGTATATTAGGACTCTTTGTACATAAAGCTTCTTTCATACTTGGGCTTCGCTACACCGAGGTGCTGGGTGCCTAGGGTGCCCAAGGCATCTACTAGTGGCCTAAGGCCCAGTCATAGTCACCACAACAAGTTTCAAACCTTTATAACAGCCGCCGGAAATTGTCCCAAATAAACCGAGGAATTTGCTTTCTATCTTTCCTCTAGAGCTAGTGAAACTGCCGAGGGCACCGGGGCTTCGTGCCTAGCTTAGAAAGGGATCCACTAACATTAACTTGTAGGAGAGCATGAATAATATTTATGCCCTAGAAGATAGCCATTTATTTATAGTGGAACATGATATTTCTCCAGCTTATATAACCGCGACGATAATATTCTTAGACTCAATTCCTGGTGATAGACTTCTGTGGCAAACTAGCTTAAGTTGTTCACACCTTCAACACGCACGCATGCCACTTCCCTCTCAACTAAGCGAGTATTCATTCCGAGGTTGAATTCGTTTTTTATCTAGTAAATACCACTTTGAATGAGGGCCGCCATGGCATGTCATCATCATTTGTTGAATTTCAGATGAGCACGAATCGAAGATTGAAGAGGTGCCGAAGTACTAAAACCAAAATCCGAAAATAAGTATATAACCATCCTTCCCCACAAGACACGGCTAGGGTATAGTTAGTCAAGTATAAGAATACACAAGAAAGGGTTTTCAACTAGTGACTTACTGCTGGTTGTTTGTCAAATTTCTCCTAACCAAGCACATCGGCCGGATCCTGAACGGCATCAACCTCATCCTGGTATGGATCAATTGCATCGGCATCGTCTTCGAAAAGCACCAGGATGTAGTTGGCGCTGTCAACAATCTTGCCATCATATCCTGCACGCTTGTGAAGTTGAGAGTTGGCAGGTTCCCTGCGCTCCATGGTCAAGGACACAGACTTGCCCTGCAAAGAGACGGGGATGGCGGCGACAAACGCCGCACAGCCAACCAGGATTGCAGCAAGGGTAATCTTCATATTGGATACAGAGGGGAATGTGGATGGATATGGGTAGAATGAATTGGCCGGGGGCTTTGGAGAGTTCAAGACTATGAGTGAATGATGTGTTTGAGATGAAGACTATACCAGTGCGTCGGGAGACCGGCTTATATATGTGAGATTGGAGGGGGGCACAGATATTTTGGGTTCCAAATCGTAATGTATGTGTACTATACTTCCCCGACAGCATGTCCCATGATCCTGTCAAGTCGTCGGAGCATCTATCACGCTTTGAGCTATGATAACCGAGCCCGAGCAGCCCAGTTCTCTCTTCATCATCTTCGTGCATATATTGGAGTCAATATGTTGCCAAGAAATCCTGGCTAGCTACTGGCTATCAGTACCATGCAGGCAGAAAATTTCTGACTTCATGTCTGCCAGGACGGACTTGGTCTAGGGCTCTGTCGTCAACACGGGAGACAGCGAGCCAATCCCGGATAAGGCTAATAACGGCCGTTCTTTCGCGTGATGCTGTATTCGGACAATAGGTCCTCTTTCAAGTAGCGTTGCAATACCTTCATATAATCTCGCTGATGCTACATATGCAATGTAACCTTTTAGGCAATCTGAGCAAGTTGACGGCTGCGGTATGTAAATAGATATACTGGACGGGAAATTGAACACAGTCTTTGCATGTATCTTGAGTCAATTGGTCAGAGGAGTGCCCGAGAAGACAAAAGCCCAAGTAACTGATCGTAACCACTAGTAATCTAGGTATAATGATATGCGGGCCCATCCACACACATGATGTATGGCGTTTCACTGTTAGATACTTGGGTTGGAGACTCAAGACTCAAGGTCCAGCCCTTCCCCCCTCGTTTCTGTTTTTTCCTACATCTCACATCCCGATATCCTTTCATCCCCTTTGCCCGTCCTTGACTTTTCATCCAAGAATTTGCACTTGTCATTTTCAGCACCATGGAGCCTAAACAGGTGACATATCACCCTCTCATGTCTGAGTCGCGAGACTCTGAATCCATCACAGAGCACGACCAGGAAGACACTTCGCATGATGGGTACATCATTCCGCGACATCAACGTTTCCGTGGCTGGGTGCGTCACATCGCTAATCCAGTGCTTATTGCTCTGATTGCACTATGTTTATTAGTGTGCGCACTCATCGTTGCCGTCTTGACAAAGCTCAATCCTAGTGACTTACAATGCACGAAACAACTTTCATCTTGGTGTAAGTACAATATATCTTTACAGGGCTTTGAATACGAGCTTAATTCCAACACAGCACCCGCACTCGATGCGGTCGAGTATATCGAGTACGACTTTGATGGGGCATTCAATGCCACCAGTATCTACCGTGGGCCTCCAACTGAAGAGAGAGAGTCTGCTTGGTTTAATTTAACGTATAGTAAGAGATACTATTCTATTCCTGAATACTTTTTCATTTATCTAACTCCTCTCAGAGCACGGTGTCGAAATCCCTCCGGACAAACTTAGTACGCTGAACAAGACTGAGGAGGATCACCTACAACACGTTCCTTCTGATGTTGGCCCTGGATACACTGGGCTGCTGGAAGTATTCCATCAACTACATTGCTTGGTAAGGATGCCATATTGGTTTCTCTAGGACCTGTAAAAGCTAAGACCAACTTTCTGACCACAGAATATCGTGCGTATGTACACATGGTGGCAGGCAGGTAAATATGACGAGCCCCCAGAGGGGTTGGTGAGAAATGAGCTCAAGAACCGTATCCATGTCGACCATTGCATTGAGTCCCTGCGAGCTACCCTCATGTGTTCCAGCGATGTCTCATTGTTATACGTGCAGGTGGGAGGGGCAGCCGGCCTGCGGGCAGACTTTGCTTCTCACCATAAGTGCAGGGATTTCAGGAAGATAGAACGGTGGATAGATGAGAATTGGACGGTTGTCTAAGCAGCCAATGCCCGATAGGGGCAGCCGGGGAAAACCGCTCGCCTCGCTGGCAGCGGTGGCAGAGACAAAGGGGCTTGAGCCTCGTAGTAGATATATGTATTGATTAGAATCTGATATTTACATGGAATGAAACCAGAATATCAGCTCTCTAGCTAAACTGTTAATCTGTAGAAGCGATCTATAGATGTCTCAGTACAGACCCAATTATAGATACCTAGGTATGCTTCTAGGGTTTTGAACATGTTATAAAACCGTACACAATAATGCATAAATCAAATATGTACATATGGCTGGCGTTTCAACACACATGCTAGTGGCTGCGGTACGCCAATGAAGAGCAACGTTTGGAATCTTGGGAGACAGACTCCGACAGACAAGACTTGATTTGGCCCGCCGGGTGTGAGGTTTTAGCCCCGAGATATATCCGCAGGTATATTTCCTCCGCATATTGCGGGAAACACTGATCAGGTTTCAGATTTAGGGGTCTTATATGTTGTGCGTCAGCACTAGCTTACCCCAGGGCTTTAAGGCCGATATCTATTTAGTCTTACCCGCGCCAGTGGGCTGTGATCCACTATGAGTTCGTATTCAAGAAAATTAACAGACTGATTCTGCAATGGGCCTATATTTGACTGAAGGGAGAGAAAAGTGCAAGAGCAATATGGCCTCTGGATGGCTCCCCGGTATGAAGCCTTCGACTAGACTCCAATAATAAATTTGAGGACAACAGGAAAAGCTGCCGGTACCCTCTCACAGGGCTTTACTTGTTCGAGATTTGGGGCGAAGGCGCAATGTCTTACTACCCTAGTAATTCGGAGTAAACTCCCTGTTGTGGGGTTTTAAGCAATCCGCGGAACTAGATGTGATGCAAGATTATGGTGGTAGTGAGCACTCTTGTCTGGTTATTGTTTCCTTGATAACGAGCGGAACTACAAAGTATCGAAACTGCGCTGATCCTAAAACTATGCATTTGGTCAGATGCGGTACATCATGTGCCACTCCAAATAGCCGGGGATTTCCCCACAGGTCCTCTACGGGTTCTTATCTATTGCTTAGCCCATCTTATTTTTGAGGATTCTAACCTCAATTAGCCATGTCTGCATTTCCGGTCGGGTTGGCGTCCCACCGGAGCTCCTTTGGAGTCCCACTAGAGTCCTCTCGTCGCCTGAAGTGACTCTCATCCTGATCGGCATGACAAGACTTACACGCGTCATTTAGTTCCCCATTGCCCAAATTAAAGCAAATCCTATCTTCAGACCTTGTCTAAATCAGGCTGCACTACCCCGCAGCGGCTGCACGGGCATGAATCTATACATTGTTTTAGCGTAGATGGCGCTGTGGATACAAAAAGGGTCCGGGTGTACCTCATATATTCCTTGCTAACGGAAATTAAAGTGATTTATATTTTGGGGTCACTGGGCTAACTAGGTAGGATTACCCTTTTGAAGCCAGGGCGGCATTACCCCGTTGGTATTAACCCAGTCTAATAGACGATCAAACTTCCTGCACTTATGAAACGCCTGGAAGTCTTCCCTGGCAGGCACCTTCGAGCCAGGCTCTGCCTCTTTCTCGTAAAGCAGATAGGGCGTAACGTCAGCATTACACATGAGTGCAAGTCTGACAGTCTCAGTACAATGATCCACATGTGCACGCACAACCAGAGGTGAATTATACTTGAAGAGACTGGGAAGTAATTCCTCGGGGTATGAATCACGCCATGCATACTGTCGCAGAACATTGAGACAATGAAGATGATGGAAGACTTCGATGCCGGCTAAATAACCATGCGCAGAAGAGTTTGAGGACGCGGGCAAAAACCCTTGCTCGGCACTCCGGTTAAGGGAAGGCAGGCGTTCAGGTGGGATGACAACACTAGGCACTAATTATCAATAAATCAGCCTAGAACTCCGATAGAGGATCGCCTGGGACAAAACAGTGCCTACCTTCGACAATACTCTTCCATTTTGCTTCGATTTGCTTTGAAGGAGTGCCCGTGAAGCCTGAGCTCTCCATTGAGAACGTGTCGGTCCAGTCATGCTCTTCATATTCGACTGCTTCAAGCAATGGTGCTTTACACAAAAGTCAGAGTTAGAAAACCTAACGTGTAGATGAGGTGTGCATATTGGGACGGGGACAATTATCAAGATACATACACCAGATGCTGAGCTGCGCAGCACATTCCCTGTCTGATGACTTCCACCTTTGAGTGGCTAGTATCATTATACTCCCCGATAGAAACATCAGAACACAGACTAAGCTCCATGCCATTTGGATGAAGTGGCCGCCACGGTAAGAAATAGTTCTCCCCCCAAGGTCAGAGAACCTATCAGACTCACCCGAGTTGTCGTCATTGCTCACCCCAGAGTACGCATGAGACCCTTTCATTGTTGTGGGTTGATGGGCAAATAATAGAAAAATAGATATCTTGACTGATTACTTCTTTTGTCTGCTTACCAGGTTGACCAAAACAATAGTCCAGCCATTTCTAGGGCTATCCACGCTAGCTATATAGGACTCGTGATCTAATGAAGGAGGGGGCAGCTGTGCAGGATAAGCACTCTCTGGGCTGAAAAGGGATATGCATCTCAGTCTCGGAGTGTGACCAAGTTTTTAGTGACATGATAAGCGACTGGGAAGCGGTATTATGATAATATACCCCGGTAGAATGAAGTACTCTCTGCAAATAGCAATGGTACACTAAATTTCAGTAAATTATCCATTTAGGTACTTCGTACATATTCCCAGGATGAAATGTTTCTTTGACTGGTTCACTTAGTAGGGTAACATCACGGCAAAGTGGCAAGGATATACGGTCTTTTTTTTATCTTCCACGAATAACCACCTTTTTCTAAAAAAAGATAAAAAGGAAAGCTCGCTGCTGGGCATCGGCTGTCAACACAGAACAGAAAACAAGGGAACAGAGCTCTTATTTAACCAACTCGTAAATTATTTGTGCCTAGCATTCTGTGCCTGTGCCTGTGCCCACCTTCTTCTGACCGGATAGCCGCAGTCTAATCCAATTGATCCTTTACCTGGCATGGAATTTTCAAGATGCGTGGGTGATGTTTCCGTTGGCTCTGCAGTCAAAGATCGCCGTGGAGGCGTTGATTTTGCGCTGAAGTTCGAAAAACTCTTTCCCTCAATACTGCCTCCCACTATATTTATTGCAGACGTAACCAGTCCCGAGAGGTATTTCCTTCTTTTGTAGAACAACGGGCGGCGCAGCCTTCTAATTTATTAAACCTGTGTATTTTCCTCAGGTCACTTAGTCCCTACTAAGCATTGAAGTATCTTAGCTAATATACTTTAGCAACCATAAGCAAGGGAATTTCACAGGTAGGGGTAATGTACATACATATTAGTCTTATAAAAATCTAGGTCTTTAATCTAGTGAGATGCTCGAGTAATCGGCATTGCTTTATAGGTGCCGTTATACTTGATTTGAAATACCTAGCGTAGAGAGAGGGGTCTTCGGCCTTTTCTACTAGATCTACTAGGGATCATAGGATTATATGCTACATGCGATATTATATATAGCTAATGGGATACCTCCTTAGATGTGTGTTGTAGCAACTAGCTATTTGCCTTAACGTAGGCTATAGCTTCCTTCTAGCTACTGGGTTTGAAACCTATATTTAGACTTAAATTTAAGAGAATGTGACGAAATGACTTTGCTACTCAAACCTGGGAGTATGCAGCATGAGATGAATTTTGGGTCATGTACGATTGGCAGGTATGTATCATACCACCGCCCTACTGGTGGCTGAAAAAGAGAGAGACAGAGATAGAAATAGAGAGAGAGTAGAGACAAAGAGATAACGCCCTCGGATGCTCCGACAATAAAAGAAATCGCCAACGGCCAAGATACCAGATCCCACACGAAAAATATACATAGGTGGTCATACTTTAGATAGACACCCCTTTCGGCTGTCAAAGCCTTTGCAGGCCATGCCAATCCTAAACAGGTGTTTACCGTCTTCTGGCCCCCTTGATCACTAGACTACCAACCACACCCGCGACGAGAGCCAAGCCGCCCACAATCGCGACGCCTACCAGGCCCTCCTTGGCAACTTTATCATCGATAAGTGATCCAAGGCTGGCAGCTTGGAGGTTTGCGGGCTCCTTCTCCAGGAGCAAATCGTTGTATCGGCGGGCTTCGCCATAGTTCCCTAGCTTGAAGTTGCCAAGGGCGAGATAATAGAGACACTCGCGTCGCCGCTCTGGGGCTCCGCGGAAGATCTCTGAAAGCAGGCGAACACCTTCTTGCTGCTCTGAACGGATGTTCGATTTGATCAGACCCTAAAGTTAATACCACCCCCGCATAGGCGGGGAGTACCGGTTAGCGCAGGCACACCTGCTCAAGTCTAGATAAACCATACCCATGCGTAGTTGAACTTGGTCTGGATTCCGACATAGTCGCCTTCTTTCTCGTATTGCGCTCTTAGGACCTGTAGCTCGGCGGGTTTCAAGGGACTGTGTCAATAGTAGTCAAGTCAGTTCTTACGGTTCCGAGATTTCCTTTCGCTGCAGTTTTTTTGGCGGAAAACAAACCTTTCCGCATCGGCGGCATCTGGCGGGGCAAAGCAAGTTAGTTTTCAAACACCAGGCATCAGTCGGAATAAACCACCTACATGGAAGGTTGGACATGGCGAAACGGGGAGTTGGTGGGTTTTAAATAGATGACCAGAACAATGGTTTCAATGATTCAATAACAGTTTGTCAAAAGTAGGAGTGTTGGTTGCGTTAGGTGAGAAGGCAAAGCCGAGGATGGAGAAATCACAAGCGCAACGTCACTTTGCGGAGGAGCAACATATGTGGCGGTGCTGTGGCTGTTGCTGCCGCAACAAACCACAACAACCGGGCGGCTTTCCACCTCGACATCTGTAACCACCGACATCATGTTGCTCGACGAGGACCCTGGAACTGTATGCGCTACTCTCTTCGCTCTCGTAATCTAGAGTTAAGGAATTTGCTGACGATTTCAGCTCATCCACCACACTATTGGCAACTTTAATATCCATCCCGATAAACAAGCCATCACACGCATCAATGACTCGCTCTCAACCCTCCAGCAATCGCGCGACCTGCGCATTCGTGAGGCCGAGTCGGCCATGCGGAAACTTTCGCGCCACCTGAATTCCCTATCTACACAACACGAAGAAGCCGTGGCGGTGCACGACTCGGGCAAACACGCGGCGGAGATTGTGGAGTTGGACACCAAGAAGTTCCGCATTGCCAAGGCAGCATCGGAGCTAGAGATTGAAAGTGAGCGCCTGGAGAGCGAGTTGGAGATGCTTAAGGAAAGACTAGTCGACCTAGAGTCCCAAGGTCTTGAGGGCGACGAAGCAACACGGCGCGAGCGCGAGGCTGATGATGCGACCATGTGCGTGCCTGTGTTCCGGTGTTGGATTGATACTCTTGCTAATACATATCTAGCCTGCGGCTCAAGATCTTCCGTTCGCTCGGTGTTGATATCGAGCCTGATGAGGCGGGCAACTTCAACCGAGCAGTCATTCGCAATAGCCGCAAGGGTGATGTTCATGTCGTCAATATCGACCCAAAATTCTCCCGCCTCTTCTACGCAAACTACTTTTGGTCAACGATGCAAGGATGATCCTGATGAGGGATGGTTTTGTGGGCGTCTGTGCTCTCTGGCGTTTTCTTCTTTTTGGAGGCTGGAAGCCGTGTTTTTATATTACTGTTGGTGTTTCTATACCCTTGGATTATTTTCTATCATGAGTCATACAATTCTTCTTCATACACTCCAGTCATATGGGCTGTCTGTACATATTATGTTTTTCAGGTAATATAGCCTTTAGTCGGATGCTTGCTGCTGTGCTAGGCGCTCTTGTAAAGCTTGAATGACCTTCTTCCGGTCTGTGTCCGATATCATCCTATCAAGCAATCGAGTAGAGATGTCATGAGTTAGGACTCTTTCTACAGTATCCAGCAGCTCCTCTTTCTGGGTTTCCGACAAATCCATACCCCAGGATGCTACCCATTGCTCGGCAAAATCGATAAGCTTTTGCTCCACCTGGTCCATATCCGGGATATCACATCCATCCCACGTCAACAACATTTCCTTTGTAATTGAGCCCGACTCTGCATTTTCTGTGGTTCCATATCGTGTTTCCACGCCTAGAGGGCCAACCCCAAGTTCCTCTGCACGGGCATTCCAAAGCGCCTGCTTCAAGGTTCCGTCCCTTTCGATCATCATCCAGAATAGTGGATATGCGCTCCGAGCTAGCGTATCACGAACACCTTTTGTTGCCTCGCGCGGGCTCACCAGCACGCCAACCGTCTCGGCCGTGCGCCACCCGACAGGTGCCTGGCGGAAGGTTCCCTCTAATTCGCGGACAACATTAGGACCTAGTTTGGCTTTGAGTGATTTGCATTGAACTAGTACGCGGAGTGCGCGCTCTCGCTCCCGCTCCGGGAGGTGCCAAGTGCCAACGAGATCAATGCCGGCGTCGTCACGACCGCCAATGCGGTCGAGGCTTAGCGCATAGCGACGTAGGGTTTGGAGAACAGTATATTCATAGTGTGTTCCGACATATACCGTGCTAGTCTCTGGAAGGGAAATATGCTCCGCGTATGAAAGAAATGTCGTCAGGTCATTGTGATGTTGTGAGGGCGGAGATGGGGCCAAGGGGAGTTTGAAAAGCCGCCGGGCGAATGGTGTCAGCTCATGATGAACTTGGGAACTAGAAAAACAGCGACAGATACTTGTTCTGAGTATCAAGGGAGAGTATCCGGCAACAAGGCCATGGCGTAGCCGCAACAGGCGCATTGAGTGATGTGAGGAAGAAAAGCCTCCTCACCGCATTGGAGCTTCTCTCCGCATTTGCTCCGCTTCTTTCACTCGACCAGACATTCTGAGTTTATTTCTTAAGCTACTCTAAGCCTCCTTGATTTTCTTTTCGAATCGCTACCATGGCTGACATCCTTACGCAGCTCCAGACTTGCCTGGATCAGGTAAAATTCCCTTCTGTAGAACCTACATTCAAACCCTTGCTCATCATGCGGACCAAATAGCTCGCAACACAATTCTACGCAACACTTGGCTATCTCACAACATACCACGACAATGCCCCCACGATACCACCGCCGAATGTACCCGATGCAGTACCGGCCCTAGCCAAGATGACCAAGAACTCATCATCACCACCGGTCCCAGCAGCGATCGCAAACAGAGTGGGGGGTGCAGCCACCGTTGCAGGAAATGCATCACCACCGCTTGCGCCTCCTCAACAACCTGGCGCTGCGCCAGCAGCAGCAGCAGAAGGTGGAGATCCTAACCTCCCTCCTGCACCGGACTCACCCAGCACATTTGCGAGTCGGCAGCGGGAGCTTGCGCGCGATCTCATTATCAAGGAACAGCAGATTGAGTATCTCATCTCTGTGCTTCCTGGGATTGGCGCTTCTGAGGCTGAGCAAGAGGCTAGAATCCGGGAACTAGAGACGGAACTCAGAGACGTTGAAAAGGAGCGCGCCGCGAAAGTCCGGGAGTTGAAGAAGTTGAGGAATCGGCTGGATGATGTTCTCGGCGCTGTGGCTGTGGGTATCCATGGGGATGGGTATCCTCCAAAGTGAGTCTAACTGTTCTTAGGAAATACGATTTACCTGCACTTTGGGAGTTACGAAGCAGATAGGACTGGCGCGGGTTTTCATTTTCCTGGCTGTATTTTCGGCGTTATGTGATGGAGAGTCTTTTACCGATTGCACATGAAAATCTCACGAATACTACATGGCACAAAGCCGGTTTGTACAGAATCTAGCTACCAAGAAGTTATTAACATGGATATTGACTTTCTAATTGTCTCTCGATTTGAACTGATATATATGGTAACTAGAAATGACATATTCATACAAGTCCCCTTTGAGTGCTGACTTTGACTACATGGGCGAGTCATATTAACCGTTGATTTATTAGAAGTATCCTTCGATATCAATGGACTTCGCTGGTATCTTCTGTTGAACCCCCATTTTTACGGCTAAAAAGAAGGTGAAAGCGACCCCAAAGGACTTGTCAAAATTTGATAAGTAGTATATTGGGAACAAGATTTGTCGTGAATAGCATTTATGGGCATGGATAGGTGTCTTGTTCCTGACACATTAAGCGCTGGTTAAAGCGCACGTACTAATACGTTCACTTTTATTGGATCTAGGAGGCAAGCAGTCACCAGCCGGAAGTTCATTATATGTTTGATTTGATGAGGTTAAAACGGCGCATCTTCCGTCTAGGGACTTAGCACTGGAGTGATAATAGCCATAGATTCTCAACAAGTGTGTGAGATTGACAGGGCCAAAGAAAAAGAACTAACAAGGAAGGGTCTGACTATTAACAGTCGACGCCAATATTGACCGGTAGATATTAATTTGTAGAGACATACGAAGAGCTTAAACGATTCTATTCTACTCAAGGATCATGTTACGATGACTGCTATACTCTCTTTCTGGAAGTAAAATAGGAAGTATGCATAATCTAGTTCATGTGTGAATATACTAAAACACTATTAATAAATAGCACACGAAAATAAAAGACCTTCTATGGTTAAAGCAAGCAAACCCGTGTATAAACGTGCCTATAAACTGTGCTTTAAAAAAAGGATACAAAGAGAACGCCCGGTATATGGTCACAAGGAGAATCAAAGATATAATAATAGATACTAACGCCTTCTCCTTTCCTGGGTATCATGAAACGAAACCAGCGAGCCACCGGCATTGGGGCAGAAAAAAAAATCAAATGGGAACGGAAACGAAAAATCAAAAACGAAAAATCAAATGGGGAACTGAAGGGGGAAAGCACACATCCAGAGCTGGGACGAGAAAAGATAAGAGGATCTACTTGAAAAGACTGCGGTATTCACGCATGCGAGCCTCCTGGCTCTCTCGCTTGTCTTGCTTGACGCGATTCAGGCTCGTGTCGGCCATCTCTTGCTTCTTCTTGGCGAGTTGCATTATCTTTTCCTCAATGCTGCCCTTCATGACGAATTGATAGGTTTGCACAGGTCGAGTTTGCCCAAGACGATGAACGCGGTCAATCGCTTGAGCAACAGCGGCGGGGTTGTACTGGGGCTCCATGATAAAAACACGCGAGGCAGAGGTCAGATTCAGGGCCACACCGCCGGCACCAATGGTTGCGAGAAGAACTTTGATATTGTCATCCTTTGCAAATTCCTCAAGTGCCTTTGTGCGCGCTGCAAGGGTCATGGTACCATCAAGTCGAGTATACCCATCAAGCCCATTGTTTTTCAAGGCGATTTCAATGAGATCCAGGTGCGAGGTCCACGCAGAGAACACAACACTCTTGATAGGCGACTCGCCTTCGAGCTTCTTGCTGTCTTCAACACTTTCCTTCAGGTAGTTGAGCAGTGCAGTGGTTTTGGTGTGGGGTCCTTCGTATTCACCCAAGTTCTTGCCCAGCTTCCGGGTTTGCCGATCGCTTTCCTTTTGGGCCTCGTATTCTTCAAATCCAGCCGGCGTGATGGTCGAGTATTTCAAGACAATCCATCCTTCGCACCTAGGGCAACGGATCTGGGCATCGGGACACGAATCGTATGCATGTTTCCAGCCTGAGAAGCAACCAGGGCAGAAAATATCGAGACATGGTAGGACAATGGCCATTGGAGAGTCACGGTCAACAGCTCCCACTGAATTCAGAGGTTCATCGAGTTCTCGATTGCAATTGCCACACCGGGGGGCTGAGGTCTGCTGCATGAGATCGAACATTTCATATGCCTTCTTGTCTATGGCTGCCGGATTTTTCTCCGGTTCGCCTTCCTCCAAGTCAATCGCGTCGTGCACAGATAACCCCTTGGCTCTCTCTCGGTCTGTAATGTCAAGAAGCTCTTTCCCGTGTGCGCTGACTTGGCGGAGAATCATCATAGCCTTCAGAACATGGTGATACATACGACCACCCATCTTGCGTCTGTCCTCACCAGCAATGACACTCATCATCACATTTGATTCCGCTTTGAAGAAGTCATGCAACTGCTGTTCTTTCTCAGTGAATTCTAGTGTGACGATATGGTCTTCCCTGGGTGGCAGATTGATTTTGTCCTTGACTCTGCGCAAGGTAAATGAATCAACCAGAACTCGCAACCTGGCAAGTACATTGGGGTCGCCATTTTTGACCGGGCTAGATACATGCTGGGAGAATTGGCTTCGTTGATCGTAAGGCGCGATCCGTAAAAACTTGGTCACAGACAGGAGATCTTCCATGCGATTCTGAATTGGTGTTCCAGTAACCGACCACCGACGCTCGGAGTGGAGCCCGAGAATCGCCTTGGTCTGTGCCGCATTTTGTTCTCTGATGATGTGAGCTTCGTCAAGAACAATCCGGAACATGTTCATTTTTATCAAAGGGCTGAGTTTTCCACTCTTGGCGCCACGCCCCGAGATCTCACTAAGAATGGTACTGTAAGTCGTGATAACGATATCGAACTCGGCAAGTTCATTGAAATCACTGGTACGCGATGGACCGTGAAAGACATAATAGCTGATGGAGCGTGGCTTGAGATGGTCCTTGATTTGGGTAACCCAGTTGCTCACTGCACTCAACGGGACAACTAGTAGTGTTGTCCGTGTGTTGCGAATTCCTGGAACTCGGCGAACAAGGGCGGGATCAGGAGCCATCTCAGTCCAGTCATCAGCTAACCCAAGGGATGATGTGATTAATGAAAGAACACTCAGAGTCTTACCCAGGCCCATCATGTCAGCCAACAAACCGCCTAGCGACTCCTCGGGTTTTTGCTCTGAAATCATCCCAGTGATGATCTCGCGGTACTGTGTCTTCCCACTAGGTGTACGTTCCATTCGCCACAAGGAATTGTTGTCTTCTTCCTTCTGGCCAAATTTGCGTGGTTTTTCTTTCTCCGTCATAAACCACAGGGCTTGCTTTTGGTGATGGAGCATTGGTGTCATGATATGAGAAGACGGCTCCATTGTCGGAATGTTCGCGTTGGCGAGTTGATCGAACATCTTCATGACTGCATCGTTGGCCTCTTCAGCAGTTCGCGCTTCATATCTGATAGTTGAACCTGGACGAGAACGCCCAGCGTTGGCGGCGGCGTTGGCGGCGGCAAGCTGGCGCCGGAGCTCTGCGTGTGGATTGAACACAGTAGTTCCTTTGTCCACGGAATTTGGAGTCCCTAACCAGATATTGCGGTGAGAGAGAAATTTGCCAACAGCCTCTGCCTGCTTTCGTTCGCCGTATATATTGAGGCTTGCACGCCATATCGCCGAGGTAGGAGCCCAAATTTCTTCATTTGGCGACGTTCTCCGGAAATCCAATAAGGCTGTTACATCGATAGGTATTTCAGAGTCCATGAGTGGAGACAGTCCTTGTGCCGTTTTAGGGTCAATTGTACCGAAGACTTTGCCGTGAGGGTCAGCCACGTCGATCTGAAAATTGCCATTCACGGGCTGGCGTTGCAAGTCTAATTTAATAGACGGCCAAGCGTGTGAGAAGTCGTTGAAAACAGTGTGTCCTGGTCTGGGAACTAGATGGGCCATGACCATTGCGTTTTCAACTTTTCCGAAGCAAACACGCTGGGTGCTGAGATCTGTTGAACCAGTGCATAGGACTTCGTCATCATCCTTGGGCGTGTTCATAAGGTCTAGAATAATATTAGTTGAATTCCAAAAAAACCAGGGGAAATAGGAGAAAGAAAATATCTCATACCAGCTGTCAAATCCACTACCTCGGGTGTAGTGGAAATTGGAGTTGATTTCACGTCCTCCTCTTTCATCCACTTCCCAAGCCCGCTATTTCCAGAGATTGAGACCGGTGCTGTCGTCATGTTCGGCTTTTCTTCCACGTCGTGCTCAGTCTTCATTTTCTTCGTCGGCTGATTCTTCCGTTTTTCAACGCCATAGACATTTTCGATCAAATTAGGGCGATAGATGGTCCCTTCGTCATCACTCATCTCGCGGTGACTTCTTTTCGCGTCGCTTTCGTTGTCTTCGTCGTGGGTGGAGCTGAACTGCACTGTCAGACCGGGTTCTGACTTCATAGCTGGGGTCGAAGCTCCCGATGCCACACTTGGGGAGGCGCGAATAGCGGGTTGATGAAATCGTGTAGCAGCTGCAGTGCCTGCAGGAGCCATGGGAGAGGCAGGAGATGAACCATTTCCCCGCTGTTTTCCTGGACCTTCCAAAAGTGAGCCTTGGGAATGCATGGGGCCGAGAAGCATGGGGTCTATCAGGGGAGAAGTAACAGGTAAAAATATATTTCCAGAAGAAATAATCGAAGAGGGACCAAGTGAATTGGGAGCACAAGGGGGAAACGAGTCGGCAGGGCCAAGAGACTTGCTATGCATAACCGAAGTATCCACCTGAGGGGCAGAAGGGACACAATGTTCTGTTGGATGTATCATGTCCGTAGACATGGACTGGGTATCCATCTGGGTGCCCAGATGGACAGAAGCTCCAGGTGAGTCAAGGTCTCTAGGCATGGCTGAAGTATCCGTTGTGTTCACACAAAGAAGTGTGGAGACATGAGGAGAAGCACCAAGGGAATCAGGGGAAGCAATTGCAGAAGAACAAGCCATAGGCCTAGATTGGTCCGAGGGTAACTGGCAAGGCATAGCGACAGCATCCATGGGGGTTGAATCACTCGCTGGGGAAGAAGAAAAGGAAGGATTACCGTTGCCTTGAGCTTGTCTTTTAGAGCCCTTTGGATTCAGGAGCATTGCGGCATGAGATGCCATGATGTCTCAATTGTTGTCAAGAAGCCCAAGATAAGGTTTGGTCGGATTCAAGTTCGCGCGGTGCTGTGAAAGCAAAGTGATAAAAGTCAGTGGATGAGAGAGCAAACAGTGCTGGTATTTTGGCTTCACTTGCTGTGAATAGAAAGACAAGATCCAGTTCCTTCAGGCAGGCAAGCTCTATGTCCAACCTCAAAGTTGAATAGTATTCGCAGCGGTGTCGGGAGGGTTGGAATGCAGGACAGGCGACTGCGATTTGGGATTAATTTTCTACCTGATTTGTCGAAGGTTCCGCGTGTGAGGGCAAATCAATCAAGTTCAAAATATTTGAGCCTTGATGTCGTGTATCAAATATTAACGCTGTAGCGGAGTGATTACGCAAATGGGCTGGCCAACGAAAGGTGCGTCTTCCAGACGCGAGAGTCGCGAAATCTCCGGCGTCATTGAAAGTGAGAGATACGGAAGAGAATCGCGCGCAACAGCAGTAGCACTGTTGTCCCGGTTGTCAACGTATATATTCCCGGGGAAACCACGTCGTTTTCCCAGTTGCAATCCAGTCGGCGCCTTGTCGTTTGCCTCGTCGAGGGAATCGTGATCAGATCTGTAGGCGACTCTTGGTCGAGGGGAGGGTCCTTGACCTCGAGTTTTCTCACTATGGTGGTCCTTCGATTCGCGCGACTTTTTTTGCTCAAGTCAGTCGTAAGATCAGTCGCGTTGTTAGCAACTCGAAATGACGAAGTGGTTCTTCTGAAGTCGGTGCCTCGGAGAAACCCGCCGATAAGATCTTATCAGTCCACGCGCTTCCAAACACGGTATTCCAAAGTGTGATAGAACGCAAGTACTACATGTATGTACTTAAAAGGACTTAGATTAGCTTAGAGAAAAGCTATATCAGTGGCGAGTCTAGGAAGAACTCTTCCAAATATAAGGGAGCAAAAAGTCTATGCATCTGGACGCGTGACATACATATATCCCAATCTGAGGTTGGGAGATCCTGTGCTTAGTTGCCCCCCAGTCATTTTCTATACTTTGTACTCTGTAGATTGTGGAGATTTATTGGATCTAAGGCTTGGATACTCTCTTTTTTGTCTCTTTTCTGCTTCTATGATACTTACTTAACAGTATATCCTACCTATATATTAGGTAAATTGTCACGTCTAGTTATGGATTGCTTATCTGTTTGATCCTGGCCCAGGTGTGTTTGCGATGGCGAAGATGATGTCTCACAAAACAATGTCATGCAAGCAGTCGATGGAGTGGATCGCAGTAGTATTACCTTACATGAGGGACTATCTATTGCATCTAACCTTGATTTGCTTTTTTAACAATACTATGACATAGTACTGACTGTGGAGCCCCAAAAGTCGAGTATTGGTTATGCCTACGCCCGAGTTGGGATCTATATCTCGTGACATACTACAGGGTCACATGCCACTACAAGCTAACCTGATCAGCATGATTGATACAATAATAATAATAATAATAAGACGATGAAGGTATCATAGAATTAAGTCTCGTCAATATGCTACATGAGGCAGATCGCCCAATCAATGCGCCACAGCCCAAGGCAATCCCAACAGCCAGAGAATGTCTATATACAACAAGGAAATCTCCCAAATCATGAGCATGTCCAGCAAAGGACTCGTGTGAAATGTCACAGAAAAAAAAGGTACAGTCGAAATCTTGAACAGGAATTGGGAACCGTTTCCCGGAGAACAGGGACGCAACAAATACCCCGAGAAGACAACGCTGTAGAAGATAGCTGCAGATTAAATGAGAAAGAAGTAATGCAAGAACGTAGGAGAGTGAAAAGTGCAAAAGGATAGAACGACAAAATCTGACCTTAACACCAGGTAAAAACGGGATTTTTGCTCTTAACAGCTTCCAGGCGCTCAACAATCACCTTGCGCTGGTTGCCTTCCATGCCCTCTGCAACTGCGTAGCCAAGGTCACCTTCAAGATCGTCGTTGCCAAATGTATTGACATGAGGAACACGGAAGGATGTGGAACCGCCGTTTCTACGATGGTTGTGCTGGCGGGGAGGAAGCGAAGACCATCCATCTAGAGAACCCCCGGTGTTTCGGCCACCGAAATCATTTGTAGTTGCAGGGCTACCGACAGAACCATCAGCACCTTCGCTGTCAGCATCAGTTCGACCACGGGTGAGTTCGAACCGGTTTGGGTTGGGGAGGTCGCTTGGCGACGAATTCAATCCCAATAAGTCGTACTCGGGGATTGGCTGCGAAGATGCGGATGCACCAATATCCATCTCTTCTTCATCAGGGTCGTAATTCATAGATTTGTTCCTTTGCTTGTCTGTGGAAGGCGGGCGCATCGGAATAGCAACAGGAACGTCAACCAAGTCATCCCATACGCAGACCCGGGTTCGTCGAGTAAGCTCAAGCGGGCCGTGATCTGGTTGTTTCAATGTTTCCACCACATTCCAGGCTTGACCTTTCATAACGGCGATTTGTCGAGCGAACATGCTCTCTTTGAAATCATCATCTTGCGCAAAGACACTACGCAAGGCCATCTGCGTACCGCTCCACCAGGCTGTGGATGTCAACAAGGGAAGGAAATGGTCACGAGTTCTCTGCGAGAATGGTTGTCCGATCAACGAAACTGGCAGGAAAAGCCAACCGAAGGGAAAACTGCGCCACTGCTTGTTGTTAGTAATCGAAGGTCGTAATTACACGTGAACTCCAAAACTTACGGCATCTGGGTGTTTCCATGGCCAGGACAAACTGTTGTCAATGGCACCAAGCTGGACAGAAGCTGATTGTTCTGAAGAGGCTAGTGGAGTTCCCGTGCGACTGATGGCCATCATTGTTTCATGCCGCTTGTATGGGTGGAAGGGGGGATTGGCGGTGCCATTTGAATTCACGGAAATGGGACGAGGCGGGGGCATAAGCTCGTCATCATCGTGCTTAGGTTGCGGCTCAGTGTGTTTTGGGGGCTCTGCCATGATAGAAACCTGCTCTGTCCCCCAGTCAATCTTGACCATCCAGTTGTCAAGACCTCGATCGGTATTTCGCATGATATAATCTAGAATCACAAGCTTCTCCAACTCCTCGCGGAAGGATTGTTTGAGATTCTCGGTCCAGTAGAATCGGCGCTCAGCGCTTTCGTCACGCGAACCGGCTGGCGAGGGAACATAGCCTGGATCTTCGTCATCCTCCTCGTCTGACTGTGCCCCCGATGGACGACAGGCCTCGTTCCATGGCCGCTTCTTGCGCTTGGGGGCATCCTGGGCGCGGAATCCAGTATTCACCTGGTCAGGCCAGGGATGTTCTCGGAGGAAAATGTTGGCGTCCTTAAATCCCTTTAAAAAGACTTGGAAACTGCCAGCCTTGGGAGGCAGAACTTTCTTACCTTTCCATGCCTTTCTCCGATCCCAGAAATCGTAGAAGAACGATTTCGAAGACAGTCGCACAATACCGGTATAGGGAACGAGGTTGGTGTGCAGGCGGGCATCGAGAACGTATGCAGCGGCTTCGGAGACATATGAGAGATTAGGAATGAGACACGCACGGCCAAAGAAACAGGGGAATAAGTTGCGGTGAATCCATTTTGTCCATTTAGGGTTTCGTGAGGCGTACGGCTCTTCGTCCTTCGGCTTGAACACACCCACTACTTTTCCTTCAGGGTTTCGAGCAAAGTAGCTGCCTGAGCTTCCTTGTGAGATCATCCGAGGATGTATGTCCATTTCAATCGCGAGGCGCACACTTTCGACAATCTCCTCGTACTCGGCGCGGGCCCGCCGTTGCTGACCCTCAAACTCCTCTGACTCAAGAGCCTCGGCGCTCACGGGGGTAACTCCGGGAGGTGCCTGGAAGACTGAATGGTAAATCTCAAGCTTCTCCTCCTCATAGCTTTTGCCCTTGACACGATTGATCTTGAATTTGGAGGCAATCTCGTCCGCCCATTTTTCGAGACGCGCATTGATGGCCTTGATATCCACCCCGGAGTTCCGACGACCTCGAGCATGCTGAAAACCACTGTGCCTGCGTCGATGGCCTGGGGGGGTTTGGAGACCGGACGCCTGCATCTGGGCTCGGGAGGAGATGGGAGCGTATCGGGGAGCGGAGGTGGACACTGTTGAGATCGCGCCCATCTCATCGTCTTCTGAGTCATCATGAAGGTAGCCTCGTTCCTCGTCAGCCTGGGCGAGCCGGGCGTATCCCGAGGTAGCGGGACGAGTCTTTGGCATTGTTATTGAGGGTGGTTGGATATATGGAAGATGAAAACAGGCAATATAGCCCGTAAAGAAGGGACAGAAAGGCCGGCAAAAGAACGAATGGACACGAAAGGAGATTAATCCATCACAATGGAGAGAAGAGAAGAAAAAGACCGCTCGTGGATAGAATAGAGAGTTGATAGAGCCAAGGCAGTTGAAATAAGTGTCACCTATGTCCGGACGCCGCCAAGGGGGCGTTCTGAAAGTAATGTTACAGCTAATTTACATAGCGGTGGCGTGATAAGTGGCAGAATGCAGTAAATTTGGTGAGCCGGTTAAGACCAGCTTATTAATTACCGTTATACAATTACGCACCGCCACACTCTGTCTCCACCCCCTAAATCGAAAGGGGCCTTGATGGATGCATCCAGTATTATTTTGTTTGCCCTGAAACTTGGCCAGAACCGCAATTGATCTCCATATGGAACCCCTCTATGACGAATTGGGCATATTCAGGGGATGGCAGCTCCATACAGCATACATATATATGTACAACATAACCCTACTCGGTAAATGTTGGTAAAACCGCCACGCTGGCAAAATATCCGCTTCAGTGCAGGGAATTTTATATACATAAAAACCGTCTAGGAGTGTTGATCACCTGTAAGTAAATTAGATGGTGCAGAATGGACTCATTGTTGCGCTTCTGGTCCAGGTTATATCAAGAGACTATAGAATGAAGAAGTAGAACAGAACAGGTTAATTGAATACATTCTTTGGAAGACGAAATATCCAACGTTGACGCCCCTGACATGCCGTATTAAATAATGGTTGATACTGGGGCAATCGTTATCCCGATTGTTATTATCGCGTCTTATCGTCCATCTCAATTCTGCAACTTCTGTCAACCCCTACCCTCACCTATCCTCGGCCATCATGTCGTTAATTTAAAACTTCATTCTTTCCTTCAGACTTGTTATCTTCCTCAGACAAAATAATTGTCGGGACCTCTAATCCTCTCCCTGTCCGGTATCGAGAATCATTGTTCGGAATTTCACCTTGAAGCGATCACTGAAGAATTGTCTTGATATAGACCCATCCACTCCTAGTTCTGCTCCGAGTCTATTGTTTCTAATCGCATCATTTGCGCGATTGGCTTGACACTCACCGTTTCCCTTCAATTCGGTCTAGGGCCGGATTTGAATCGATACCTACGTCTCTCCTCCACAGTGGCTTCCACCCTCTATAGGGCGTCGCCCATCGACCCGGCTCTCAAATCTCGTTCTTCACAGGAGCGTGAGTTTCCTTACGATTTGTCCACAGACAATTCTTCTACCCGTCACGCATCTAACGGATCCATACCATTTTCGACGACACTACCGGATATCAAGAGCGTGACCAAATTTGGTTCCGGCGAGAGTGACGGATATCCGGGCTCTTCTGTTAGCACTTCGCTTCCTGGACTAGCGGCTCTAGCCTCGGTCGCTTCAGCACCAACCTCTAATCTTCGGTGCGTTGATACCCCATACCAGTCTAAAATGAAAGCCACCGGTGGACCCTTGGGCGATCAATCTTCGCGTAATCTTCAATCGGGCCCTGGAGACCAGTAATCTGGCCCCTCATGAGAATTCGCATCAATTGGCTAATCTATATATTTCCTCTCATTTTTTTAGTTCATCCAGTGATGCAAGTATGAATATGGCAAATATGACCTATGCTACATCATCACCGGCAGCTACAACAGGAGGACAAGGGAGTGGACCTGTAAGTGTGAAATATGCCTTATATCAAGAAACTGTTATCGGAGCGCGCTGGAGGTCTTATCTCTGGGGAGTTATCGAAAGTCTTGGCGCCACTCGATCCGTGCACCCGCTTTTTCCCTTTCCTTATCGACACAAATCTCTCACAATCTTATCATCCTCTTCCTCTTCCTAACTTCTATACCCTCATAATGGCGACCACATTGACTGACGACAAGCGACCTCAATTACAGCCCGTTTGCCAGAATTGCGGCACCTCTACCACTCCCCTGTGGCGTAGGGACGAACTCGGTTCAGTCCTCTGCAACGCATGTGGACTCTTCTTGAAACTGCATGGCCGACCTCGTCCGATAAGCTTGAAAACAGATGTGATTAAAAGTCGCAATCGCGTGAAGACTGGCCAGGGACCTAAGCGCAAGGTGTGTTCGTGATCAAAATTTTTTCCCTCCCCGTCCCCTACCTCCAAATTCCACCTGTCTTAGATAAGAACATGCCCTAATCAAGATTGTGATCCCATAGTCTGGCGGCCCTGTTGATACCAATGGCATCCCGCCGCGATCTGAGGCGGGGACCCCTCCCCTCGGGTCGCATGGATACCGTCGCGCGTCGCGCAAGATGTCCCCGGGTCATTCGGATCGCTCCAACTCCCCTGTTTCCCGGACCGAGACACCTGGCTTTAGCTCGATGCACGCGCACAACTCGAATATCGCGCCGCAGCACATGTTTGATAGCGTTACCCTGGGCGACAGCATGAGCTCCTCCGGCGGCCTCCCATCCCGCCAGATGCGCCAACCTTCTCCTTCGGCAGTCGATCGCCAACTCGAATCTCCCCACACATTCGAAAGCCTCCTGGCTCTCAACACATCCTTGAAGACACGCGTTAGTGAACTTGAATTCGTCAACGAGCTCTTCCGCGGCCGTGTGACGGAGCTCGAGCAGAGTGATGCCAGCGCGCGTCGGTCGGAGATGATTGTAAGAGACTCTGAGGTTCGTCTGAGGCGATCTCTTGAGGATGCTCAGCGCCGTGAGGAGGATCTCAAGCGTCGTGTTAACGATCTTGAGCGCCAGCTTGGTTCTAGCAGCGCTGGCGACGCCGAGTCCGGCGAGCCACTCGCAAAAAAGATCCGGCTGTCGGATGTTGTGGAATCTGGCGAGGACGTGGTGGTCAAATCTCCCAAGAGCGTTTAGGTCCTGTGGTGCCCTGCTATTTTCGACCCTTTCCAATGTGCTTGTTCATTCCATCATCGGTCCACACGCAGTACTGCAAGCTTATAAGCTGCATTACGCTTGCTGGTCCCCACCAACCTCTGATATTCTTGATACCCTTCATGGCTCCTCCGTCATCACTGGCTGGAACTTTACCCAAAAAAAGCTTCTATTGAACGGTCTCGATTTTTCTTACTTTCTTATGTCCGGATGTTTCTCCAAACGTCTTGTTTTAATTTGCTTTTCTTGCGGTGTGCTGTACGAACTCTTTCACTATGCTTCTAATACAATACTTTATCCCTGTCCTTCTCTTCCAGAACTCAACGGTCTGGAAGATCGATGGATCGGCGATCCAACTGGGAAGTGTCTTGTTATCTGGGTGTTTTTCCTGGGATGTTCCTCTCAATGTGCTAGTTGGTGCTTGCAATCATCATTATCTCAGTCTGCTGCTTTAACAGAGCACTGCAACCGTTTTTGATTGTTTAAGCCAACTTGGCGGGTCTATGGGCCGTGTTTTTGATTGATTTAAACGAACGTTCTCGCTTTCTGTGTTTCGATATCTACATGTATGTTAGGAGGGAAATGAAAGTGTCATGCAGAATTCTCGACTCCTATCAAGCTTGAGGTCTCGTTCGAATATAGCATAGATGAGGCGGTAAGGTATCCGAATTGGCAACATTGAAGCACATTCACCGCTTATATCAAGACCGATTATACTAACTACATACCCACATATATATATACTTGGAATAACACCGCATAATCCCCAAATGTACAGTAATGAAATTGACCAAGTTCTGGCCTATGGAAAGGTAAAATAACCCGAACAAAGAAAGCCAGACGCAAAGTATCAAGTCTATAAAGAGAAAACAGCCCATGGGTATACTAAATGAGGACACAAGCCAAGTAACATCCACCATGAAATGTACTCTATGAGAAGTCGTAGCAACCCTCAGCAATATCCAGGGAAATTTGCAGACAGGAAGGCAATGCATAAGCCCATGCTTGCCATGAAGGTGGTACTACACCTAGACAATCCAAATCGATCGAAAAAAATCATCAATCTCACGCGAGTCGGTGGCCCAACTTCTTGTTCATGATGTTATTGATGTTCCTCTCGCGCATAATGGTCCACAGACAAACAGCGATACCAAATAGCCCGGAAACGAAAGTCATGAAGTAGGCAGTGCGGTAGCAGCCTAGTCCATCTGGGCACTCGCGGTCGCCATCGTGGCCGACAACAGAGTGCCCGTCATAGATATTACCGTATAACAAATTGAAAATATTACCACTGAACACTGGGGCTAGCGTCATGACGCCCCAATTCTGGGACAGGCCGCCAATGCCGAAAGTGTGTGCGGTTAGGGAAGGGAAGACGCCAAACAGGAAGCCATAGGCGATTCCGGTGAAGCCGGAGACAACGACTAGGCTGTTTGGGTTCGAAATGGTGGTTCCAGCGAGCTGGGTCAGGGTGAAGACAACCGCTGACAAGAATAAACACCAGATGCGGGACATACCGAGCTTCTTGACTAGTAGGTCAGAGCCTATGCCGCTGAATAGACGGCCAAGGAAATTGCCGAAGGAAAGAATGGAGACGTGCATGACCTGGCGGTGTTGAATGAACACGTCTGTTGCACTATCATCGTAGTATAGCCACAGAGCTTTCACGCTGTTGCCGATATTATTGATGGTCATCAAGCCGATACCGGACAAGAGTCCCATGGTCAAGAAGAGCTGCCAGAACTCGACTTTGCGGAGCATGGCGAGACCTCTGATGTCAGTTTGGTGTGCCTCAATGGCCACTTCGTCTAGGAAGTCATCGTCAAGTGTATCAAAAGAGGGGCGTGTGCGGTCGTTCTTGGATACTAAGGTGGCAGTCTCATCGTCATTGGCGAACGCTCTGCCTTGGGAGTTCGAGGCAACCGAGTGCGACCGCGCATGCACGGGGTACTGCTCGTGAGTATAAGCTGCAGAGCCATGTAGATCAGAGTCCTCCGGCACAGGTTGAAGATCGCTGGAGTGGCGTCTTCCGGACTCATGTGGGTTGGGTGAGACGGACGAGTACGCCTCGCTGTCGAGAATTCGAAGGAATGGAATTGAAGCAAAGGACAGAATCGAGGTCCCGAGGGCTAAAAGCAAAAGAAAGCGACCGGTATCGTCTTTGAAAATGAGAGTTGACAGATTGGACCAGAATAGCGCACTGAGTCCAAAGGCCGCCATGGGGAAAGCTGTACTTGTGCCCCGATGGTCGGGGAAGTTGGATGCCGCTAGAATCAATGGGTTAACTCTCATCAAGCAGAGTTCTTGAATATAACGTACCAGTTTTGATGGCACCGCCAAAGGCAGAGCAGCCACCCATGCCGGTAAGGAAAGCGAAGAGGCATAGGAAGACAACCGGCATCGATCCTTGGCCATTATCGTATGCTACAGATATTAGAGCTGCTCAATTTCGACAAGATAGTATCACGACATACCCATATAGATTGGGAAGTACCCCAGGCCCAGGCAAATAGAGCCAATGAGCGCGACAAGTCGGGGACCGCGGGCATCTGTCAGTAGTCCCATTGGGATCCCCATAGCATACATCCCCAGGTTCCCCGCGACGCCCTGGAGCTTGTTAGGACACATTTCCCAACACCGGACACGGGATAACTCACAATAAAATTACTCTCGGTTGAAGAGAGCTTCATTCGGTGCGCGAATTGTGGCGCCCACGCGGAGTATGCATACTGATAAGCAGGTCAACCTTAATAGTCCTAAATGAGGATAATATCGAGATATCACGCACATTGGTTCCACATGAGAGGGCGACCAGCGTCCCCGCAATGACGGAAATAACCCGGGCAGTTCGGTGGAGAGAGCCGGTCATTATGTCGTTCTTCTGCAAATTGTTCTGGTTATCTTGTGCGATACAAGTATTTTAGCGGCGGGAGTCGTTAATTAGGCCCTATACAGATGTGAGGCCGACACTAGGAGAAACATCGGGCCTGAAATGAAGGACGAAAAGGGTGAAAAGAGCGAATGGAGTTATATAGGAGGAATTGAGGGAGAAGGCCACTTGGGAGTTTTCAGGAGCGTACCCTTAGGTAAGGACTTGGAGATGGATCACCCCGGGGGGCCGCGTGGTCGGAACAACCGTCAAGCAAGCGCCAAGGAAACTTTGCTCCACGTCAACTGACGAATACGATGGAGATGAATTGATTTCTAAAATGTAAAGGAAATTGAGGGGACAAAAAAAGAGGAATGGAATGTAGTAGGGGATGTACTATGTCGCCTTTAAGTCCTACGTTGCATTGATAACACAAGATTATGCATATCCGTCAAATCCGTCAAATCCTCCGGAATTGCGCGAATCGTAGCTCGTCATAGTTGGATTTCCACGGCCAAATGTGTTACTCCACGCGATAAGGCGGATACATCTCCACTACAACGTAATGTTGAGACTGGATTCGTCAAGCCTTCAGGGCTGAGTGCCTGGATTATGTACAATGGTTTCATAGGTCGAAATACCCCAATTATCAAAACAACATGTCCCAATTCGTTGTTGGCAAGTTGTTCCCGATTCGTTAACTTGTACATTCTCCCTGCAGTATCTACAATTTAAAAATACATGTGATGTACTATGATGTACTTCGTAGTTATATGCTGTGCAGGTTTCTAAGCTTCTATCTTAAGATAAGAATAACTAATATCAATGTTCTTAATAAAGCATCGTTTTTAATTCACTACGGACAGATGATCTTGAAAGAACTTAGACATTTGAAGTTCCTTTAGTCCTATAAAAGGCAATCTATTCAGATAACTAGATAACTATGTATGATGTCGAGGATCATGGTACTACTAGTGGGGGTGGAGAGCCTAATCCCGAGAGGCTTGGCACGTGATATATTTTCGAGTTGGAGGTATTACGTAACATCCATCCATGACGGAGGCGGCCTCAGGTGATGATCTTCAATCTGATCACTTGTCTCTCTCCACACTCTCATCGATTCTCGATCTTGGTTTACTCGTACATTTTATCAATTCACTTGTATATTACAGCCAGAACACTGGGTTACCTGACACCTGCACTCCCAAAATGGGTGCCCTCCTTTCTATTCCACTGTTGGCCGTCCCGAGTGTCGGTACAGTATGTTGTCGCCTACCAATCTCCAGTCACCGATACACTCATTGCGCAGTTGGCTAACTCGGCTTGTATCCAACAGATCTTTACAGTCGCAACATCATGCTGTGGGGCAGCGACATGTTCTGCAGTCTGCAGCGCCTGCGGAAAGTTTCAAAACAGGTACCACTTACCAGCTGAGTAGTGCGGAGAACCTCGGACTAACAAGCACAACAGCATGGCGACGAGAATTGCCTATGCCTTCATCCTTTTGATCAACTCCATAATCTCCTGGATTATGCTCACGCCATGGGCTCTGAAAAAATTGCAACACTTGACCTTAGATTATATGGAGATTCGATGTGACGGGAAGGAATGTCACGGCTGGGTCGCGGTCCATCGTATCAATTTTGCCCTCGGTCTCTTCCATTTGATCTTTGCTCTTTTGCTTCTCGGAGTTAAAAGCTCGAAAGATACTCGCGCTGCTCTCCAGAATGGATATTGGGGTCCGAAGGTCATCCTCTGGGTGGCCTTTGTCGTCATGTCATTCTTTATTCCCGAGCCCTTCTTTTTCATCTATGGAAACTATATCGCCTTTTTCTGTGCCATGCTCTTCCTGCTTTTGGGTTTGATCCTTCTGGTGGATCTTGCGCACTCGTGGGCGGAGCTATGCCTGCAGAAGATCGAAGACAGCGACTCACGTATGTGGCGCGGTCTGCTTATCGGTTCGACCCTCGGCATGTACTTGGCATCTCTCGTCATGACCATCCTGATGTACATCTTCTTCGCAAACAGCGGTTGCTCCATGAACCAGGCTGCCATCACCGTACGTATTTCTCATACCACGAATCTTGGTACCCAACTAACTCGTCGTAGGTTAACTTGGTTGTCTTTTTGATCATCTCTTTCGTTTCTGTTCAACCAGCAGTGCAAGAATCGAACTCTCGCGCAGGACTGGCTCAAGCTGCAATGGTCACTGTCTACTGCACCTACCTCACCATGTCTGCCGTTTCGATGGAACCAGATGACAACAACTGCAACCCTCTTATCCGGTCCCGCGGAACCAGGACTGCCACTATCGTCCTCGGTGCGATTGTCACTATGCTGACCATTGCATACACCACCACACGCGCTGCCACTCAGGGAATTGCGCTGGGATCGAAGGGCGGTCACAACTACATCCAGCTAGGCATGGATGACAATGAGCACGGTTTGGTGACCCAACAACCAAACATGCGTCGGGAGATGCGCGCTGAGGCCCTTCGGGCCGCTGTCGAGAGCGGCAGTCTTCCTGCTAGTGCTCTGGAGGATAGTGACGACGAAGATGATTATGAAACAACCAAGGACGACGAGCGTGGTTCAACCCAATACAATTACTCACTCTTCCACATCATCTTCTTCCTTGCCACGACATGGGTGGCCACTTTGTTAGTCCAGGGACTAACACTGGAGACCACCACAGATTTCGCACCGGTCGGCCGCACATACTGGGCCAGCTGGGTGAAGATCGTTAGCTCTTGGGTCTGCTATGCCATCTATTTGTGGACTCTGGTTGCGCCTGTTATGTTGCCGGATCGATTCGGTGTTTATTAGTTTTTTTTTTGTCTTAGTTTTCGGGCGTCAAGAGCGATAGTGTTGCTTCTAATCATCCGTTTTGGTTTATATCCGTAATTACAATGCTATACAATTAGCAAATGAATACCTCCACACCCTCATAGCACAAATACAGCTTTCTTCAAGTGGAATAGGGGCGTCATCGAATGTAGGTAGAGCTGTCATATCCAGTTGGTCCACCGTGGTCTTGGCAAAATCACGCGTCTCACTTAACGCGTGCCAACATATCTTCCACAGACATCATGGGATGAAGATGGCGACAATCCAAGCCATCGAGGCCCGCTCTGTATGGAATTCAATATTCCCCCATAAAGCCCCAATCTAACCAGCACATCAATCAGGTACACCAAATCCAATCGGGTCAAGTCATCGTTGACTTGTGCTCTGTCGCCAAAGAGCTTGTCGAAAACAGTCTGGATGCCGGCGCAACAACAATCGGTGGGTGAATAAATTTCCGGATATTGGTTGTGACATATTTTCTGATGATTTCGGGGGGGGGGGGGGTTCAGAGGTCCGATTTAAGAACAATGGACTGGACCTAATTGAGGTCCAAGATAACGGCAGCGGGATCTCGCCGGAGAACTATGAGAACGTCGGTGAGTTGTCACTTTCTCTCTTGTTACATTGCGCTCAAGCTGACTCTCTCTTCCTCTTAGCATTGAAACACTATACCTCAAAACTGTCCTCATACGATGACCTCTCCAGCCTGCACACCTTCGGTTTCCGGGGCGAGGCGATCTCCTCACTCTGCGCGTTGGCCGATTTCCACATTGTTACGGCACAAGAAAAACAAGTTCCCCGCGCGAATCGAATCGATTTTGAACAATCTGGGAAACTTCAGAAGACACAGATCGTGGCTGGGCAGAAAGGAACGACCGCATCAGTAGAAGGCATCTTCAAGCGGCTTCCAGTGCGTCGGCGGGAATTGGAGAAGAATATCAAGCGGGAATATGGGAAGGTTCTGAATCTGCTGCATGCATATGCATGCATTAGCACTGGGGTCCGGTTCAGTGTCAGGAACACTGTTGGCAAGACGCGGAACGTGGTGGTCTTTTCTACAAATGGAAATAAGACTACCAAGGAGAATATTGCCAATGTGTATGGCGCAAAGACATTATCTGCCCTGATATCCCTTGATCTAGAGCTGGAGTTTGAGCCTGCCGCAGCTACGAAACGGGTTGGTGATGACCAACTGAGTAAAATTCAGGTTCGAGGCCATATCTCACGTCCTGTATTCGGCGAGGGCCGTCAGACTCCAGATCGCCAGATATTCTTTGTCAACTCGCGGCCATGTGGCTTGCCGCAGATTCAGAAGGCGTTCAACGAGGTTTACAAGTCGTTCAATGTCTCACAGTCGGCGTTTATCTTTGCGGACTTTCAGATGGATACAAACGCTTACGATGTCAATGTTTCACCTGATAAGCGGCAAATTCTGCTTCATGATGCGGGCGCTATGATTGAATCGCTCAAAGTTTCTCTTACGCAACTGTTTGAGGATGCGGACCAAACTGTGCCACAGTCATCGGTCAAATCCAAGCCTTTGCCAAAGCAACAACCGCTATCATCGCTTCCAGGGTTCGTTTCTGCTCGGGAACTGAACCAAAACGGTGGACTTAGAAGTCCAAGTCAAGATAGGACTAAAGAAAGCTCGGCAGAGACTCCAGGTGTAAGTCAACAGAGTGCGATTCAGCGTTTCACAAGCTCACAAGGGGGCATGTCGAGGGTGCAAGCCACGCCATCTCCAGCTCCATCAATACGAACACCACGGGCTGCAACCAGTCGCTCTTTGATGTCGACGCCAGCCCCAAGTGAGCTAGAAACGCCTGCTGCGGCGATGTCTGACGATGAACTTTTCGTCCGAGAAGCCGCCCAGGGGGAGCCTGAACCAACCCCTGTCCCCGATGAACCCTCATCCCAACCATCAGGTCCTGATGAGACCCCATCCCGCGCTCGTGGAGACCCAGAAGAAATCCCCAACATTGTCCAAAATGCCTTCCATAGAATGCGTCCGCGAAGAGAACCCGCCGAACTGGCTACCATCACTATCGGCAACCGAACTGTAATGTCCATGGTCGGCAGTGGTCCTTCACGAAAGCGAATCCCAGAAGATCCACCTTTAATGAGAGAGCCGCCTCGGCGGAAGAGACGGATACACACACCATCACGGCCTAATATATTTGGTGATCATATGAGAGCGTTTGCTGCACCGGGGTCGCAGCTGGCTGACGAAGAAGATGAAGAACCCTCCGCTAGTGAAAATGACCAGATTGAAGACGATGGAAATAACCTTTCCAGTGAAATCAAGGACGCACAAGGCGCTGAGGAAGAGCCCGTAGACGAAGGCTCTCCGCCTGAGGATCTCGACTATATTCCTGGCCAAAGTGCAGCTCAATTAGAAGCAGAAAACACCGAGGCAAGAGACAAAGACACTACTTCAGATCACACTCTCGATGAAGCTGAGAAGAAAGCGCAAGAAGAAGCTACTGTTCAACGGCTCATTCAAGAAGCCGAGAAGGCTGCTGTGCTCCCCCAAGAAAACAGCGCGAATCGCGCAAAGAAGATGAGCAAGGGCGCTGCGCATCGTGACGCGACTGTACAGCTTGTCGGCACGGTAGATGGGTCTATTTCACATCTCCAATCTCAACTCAGCACATTGCGAAAGACCCTGCAGGCGGGCACCAAGAAATCGCAAGAGGAAGCCACTGATCTTGGCGAGAAAACCGCCGAGGACAAACTTTCCTTAACTGTGAGCAAGAACGATTTTGCCCAAATGCGCGTCATCGGACAGTTCAACCTGGGCTTTATCATTGCAGTCCGTCCAGGAGAAGACCACGATGAGCTCTTCATCATTGACCAGCATGCCTCTGATGAGAAATTCAACTTTGAGCGCCTGCAAACTGAAACCGTGGTGCAAAACCAGCGACTTGTCCGTCCGCAACGCCTCGATCTCACTGCCGTCGAAGAAGAGGTTGTCCTTGAGAATCGCGCCGCTCTTGAGAAAAATGGTTTCCTCGTGACTGTCGACGAAAGCGGCGATGAGCCTATTGGTGGTAGATGTCAACTGGTTTCGTTACCGCTGAGCAAGGAAGTGGTATTCGGGGTACGCGACTTGGAGGAACTGATCGTGTTGCTGTCAGAGTCAATTTCCACGTCGGATGGATTGTCGGTACCACGGCCAAGTAAAGTGCGCAAGATGTTTGCTATGCGCGCTTGTCGCTCAAGTATCATGATCGGGAAGACCTTGACGAATCGCCAAATGGAACGAGTCGTTCAGAACATGGGGACTATCGATAAACCGTGGAATTGTCCCCACGGTCGACCAACCATGCGACACTTGATGAGTCTGGGCCAGTGGGATGAATGGAATGAATTTCAGGAAACCGAAGGACTCGACCCTTGGAAACAATACTTGGAAGCAGAAGATGAAGAAGACGAAGACGAAGAATAGTCCATAATGATACCCTGTGCGTGATATAGATGTATAACAAGAAGAACAAATCAAATAAACAAAGACATGAACCATCACCACCATCGCAACCACCCTTTCGTCGGCTGATCCACTTTCTTCCCATTAGCATCAATATCAGCATGTCCATTTAGCCCATTTACATTGCCATTCAGTTCTGTATCACTATCCTCCCGGTCATCGCCATCCTCACTTGCATGTTCCCCATGACTCCTCTCAACATTATCCATCATATCCTCCAAGGCCAGCAAATCACACTCGATCATCTCCGTCCAATTCTGCACATCCCCAATCTCCTTTAATCCATCGCGCGTCTCGTCCGCGAATCCGATCCACTGCTGATTTTGCCGCGCCAGTCGCTGCGTATTCTCCGCTAGTTCGGCTTCTTGCCTTTCCAGCGCCTTCGCGTTGGATTGGATGTTTGCTGCACGGTCGCGGAGCGGCGCCTCGAGGTTTGTTCCAACTGAGTGGAGTGTTGCGGTAAAGGCTGCCAGCGCTTCTTTTTGACGTTGGTCATCTGTGTTTGCGGCTGGGTCTGCGGTTGGATTTGGGTTCGGTTGCGGGGTGGAGTTGTCCATGGTTCTTGGTTGTTTAGTTTGATTTGGATGGTGGATTTGTAGACTATGACTCTGGGAGAGATGATCAAGATAACTCTCTTGATCTGTAGGCCTCTTTGTATTTTTTGGATATCTGGTTACTGGTATACGAAATCAAATGTAAACAAAAGATCGATAACCCCACCCCTATCACCTGGCACATGTCATCCCCTGGCCTCCCTGGGGCCGTTCCCCGCCCTAACTAAATGATGGAGATTTGTCAACCAGCGTGTCTGATCGCTCTGTTTTTATCTCGCAGACTGGAAATTTCAATCCGTTGGCTGTGCTTGGCTTGTGAACAGGATATATATTTGACTTTTTTTGGTCCAATAACAGTATGACGGGCTTACGCACGCAAATTAACACCACAGGAGAATATTGTCCCTGTTCTACATTGTTTTCGCCTTGTCGAAAACAAGATTATTGCAGTAAATATTTATGACATTTTGCGAGAAATGATCGAAATAGGAGAATCTGGAAAAAAGAAGGCACGTAGAGCGGTGCTTGAAGTTGTTTCTTGCTTGTCTGATGCGTTCTGTTTCTGTCACGATGTACCATCGCCTGTAACGCGCGGGCTTCCTTCACTACTGTTGGGGTAGAATCAAGACCATATATTTCAGGACGCTTCCCTTCTGATCATGGCCTGAGGCCGGGGTATACTCAGAGTTGCATATAGTATTTACACATGTTGTGAGCTTTGGGGCACTGAGAACAGGTTTCCATGAGCGTGGTCCGTAATGTTCGCCGGCTAGGTAGCATCGCAATCCCATTCTGAAAATGCTTACACTGAATGTCTCACACTGTTTGAAGTGGATGAGAAATATAAGGATGGCTCATCATATGTACAAACAGTACTTCGATAGTAATCTCATCCCAAGTAGGCTCTTCTATCTCATGACAGCGGGTAATATGGGAGACATATCACATTTATGATGAACAGCTATCGGTGCAATCACTACGATGTCGACCCAAAGGGTCGTAGAGCCACGGTTATCCATTTTTTACGAGGCAGCCCAGTTGCCAGGGCCCTGAGGTTCTAGTTGAGGGAATTGCGTCTTGATAAATCATACTATAAAAGAATCGCCTGGGTAGATGAACAGTAGTTATTGTTTACTTAAATTGTTACTAGTATCTAGCTCATGTAGTCCTCGAGGTACCGTGAGACCTCTAAAGTATTGGGTGACACCTATGTACTGTCATATACCGTCTTGTGTGTAGGGGTACAAAATTCCACTCAATCCTTTGAAGGTCCAACTCGGTCACCTAGGGACTGAGTCCCTTTTCCCAATTAGGCTTAGTAGAGGATTCAATTTCTTTGTTTGTCAAAAGATCCAATCTTGGAAGGTACCTTGGCATGTGACATGGTGGGTATGTGGCGTTTTAGGAAAGAGGGTATGTTTATGTAGAGTCGCTCCTTCCTGGAAATAGTAGCACTTGATCTTGTGTCGCGTCGCGAGGTCCCTGATATAAAAGGCCCCCCCCCCCCAACATTTTTTCAACTTCTTCTTTTCAACCATCTCTATCATAAGCTTCTCAGATCTAATCTGATGCGGCTTCCCTGATGCAGTGAGTAGTGGTTCAGGTGAGTTCCCTCTTCTCAGGATAATATGAGTCCAAACTCTTCTGACAATTGACAGCCTTAGTAGGGAAATGGGGGACCCTGCGGGGTCTCTCGAAAGTATCGAACAGGCTTTGTAAGATATCGTTATCCCACCCACAAGTTTTTGACATGGCTGACTTGGACTTCTTTCTGATTAGCTCCTTCGTTGGAAAACCGAGATGGGGTCCCCGAAGCCTCGACATGGTGGTATGTTCTCCTGCTAGTAACAATCTTTTCCTCATCACTGACTTGGAATCTCTCAGGACCTTCGTTGGATGTTAGCAACATTAGTACCTGCACTGAGCATGGGCTTTCTCTGATCGTCCTGTCAGCCTTGCTGATGTGGGGTGAGTTCTCCAGCCTGTGACATTTGGCCTCTTCTAACCACATTTTCGTATTAGAATCGTTATTGACAGCCTGGACCAAGTGGGCCCTCTCTTATCCAGGGATACTCAGTATACCTACATGATAGGAGGTACGTTGTGCTGTAAATCTTGGGGAGGTAGATGGGATCTAACGCCCATCGACCTACGAGGGGAGGATGCCTAAGGTGGATTGGTATACGCGTAGTAATATGCGTTGCTGGTTCGTCTGCGGTGGCATCCAGGACGCAAGTCCAAGGTAGGTGCTTTCCCGCCTGTGATTCTTTGTCATCTTTAACTTACGGTCTTCTTTCATTAGAACCTTCGTGGGCAGACCTGAAGTCAGACTGGGCGTGCACGATCCCAGTTCAGGCGGGTCCGGCTAAATTCCAGGTGAGTCCCCCTATCAGTCTGTGTTTGCTTTTGATACTAACTTAGGGTTATTTCTGATCAGTGCATTCAGCGGAGTTTTTGGCATTACACAGCAATGTGTGATGTCTCTTGCAATTGGCCATGCGCCCCGCTTTTTTTTTCTATAAAGCGATGAAACAACATTGGAATAAGAGCCTTGCTATTATTTCAATGTTGTTTGCCTTCGGGGGGCACCTTTTTATGGGCTGTGGGCTTTGTGGGTTGTTGGTTTTGATCTTCCTTTAGGAAAAAAATGAGAGCTATTGGTCTTTTGTATGGGTACATGATCCAAACGGAAGATAATTTTGGGTCAGTACCCAGCAGGGCCATAGAACAAAACTTCCATTACATGTCTGATCGGAGCGGGTTGAATATTACAACGTATCATTCGTCTGCTATGCTCTTGGTCATCAATGTGCTTGGAGACACTCAGCCCAATCAACCAAGGTTGGGGATAGATTTATTACTATCTAACTTCGAATGAAAGGGACTTTTGTTGTTGCAACTATAGCTCGAGCTACAATACATTTTCTTCCAGTTGATTCATCCTTTTCTTGACCATAGCTCTTTGTAGACAATAAAAAAAGACTGAAAGGATATAAACGGAGGGAATAGTAGTGTCTACACCAAATAAGTAGTCAGCTAGCTTTCATTTGTCGCTTTCCCATTGTAAACTATAAAATATGCATATATTTGGCCCAAGGTAACTTGTGCTGATAAGCACGCACGACACGACATCAAGGCTGAAACAAGGTAGACTCAACAAAGAATGGCATTAATCCAGAACAAAGAAACAGACTTGACAAGCCCGCATAGATGGTCGACTATTTGTGCTCCTATTCACAGAAGAAATTCCATACACTTTTATCTAAACAAAGACTTTATTCATGGACAAATTAATCCTTGCATAAGGGACAAAGGGACAAGAGGCAAGAACCCCTGAAACGATGCGACAGTCCACCTTCTGTCTTTCCCACATCTTCCCTGGTATATATCCCCTTTCGCCGTGTGTGTATGGGTCATGATCCTCTTCCGATGCTCAAGAACATAGAGAATATCACACCAGACAGATGGCCAATCAAACACAATTGGGGTACCAAGCCCAGCGGTCTCTGAATTAGGATGACTTCAGCTTGTGTACCAGCGAGTTGGTTCGCCTTGCCCTATCAAATATATCAGCCCAAAGCCCATAAATGAAGATACCATATCGATTCTTACCGCGATGTACTGAACCATAAGGTCGTTGGAAATTGCCTCAATGTGGGCACTGTGCGCCTTCTTACGCTTGCTTCTCCCGTTATTCGCAGTATCGCTTGCCATTTTCTTCTCCTTGTTATTTTTGGGAGGCGGCGGCGGCGAGGGAGGAGCCGGTGGAAAAAAGTAGCGAACGAACGCATGGTCTGAGAAGCTGGTGGAATGATCTCTTGGAAGAATAGCTGTGGGAGAGCGTGGGAGGAGAAAGAAGGAAAGCCATTTTGGTGCACCCTTTTCGGGGACTTCGAAGGTTGCTTAGATCCTTCTTGGCCAGGCACTTGTCGTGCCCAATCCCTGAGATATTTCCTTTCAGTGTTGGAGGATAGTCAATGCAGCCAGGAATATATTCTTTCCCCGCTAATTATTCACTGTCTTTGCCATCTCAATCAACTCTCCCAGCCATTCGAACTCCTGCTTTGTAAAGTGATTTGTCGCAGAATTCGACAAGCAACAGAGATTGCTTTCTTTCATTTCCCACGCCGAATCTGATGATTCACTCGGCTCCTCCATAAACATCTCGAATCTTCCGAGAACTCGAGTCCTCGCGAACTTGTTTTCATACAGCCAGCCATTGAACCACAAAGGTCGCTTTTCACGATCCAAATGAAGAAGTTGGGGGGCACAGATAGTGAGGCTGGTGTCATGGACAGAGGCGACGGCAATTTCAGCATTGGAGGTCAATGTGGGCCGTTCCTTAGTGGAGTTGGGGCTGTCAGAGGTTTGGGCTATGCCCATGACTCCGGCTGGACCCTGGTGGAATGCATAGGAAGTATCACCTGCAAGTTCCCATCCGATCCAGAAGGTCTCTTTGTCACCTGTATAGCCCCAAAGGTTAGCAAAAGAAAGGAGACTAGGAAGATATGTACTGGGGCAAGACGAACCGTAGACCATATCATAAGTCCCCACATTGTTTGCGCCATCACCGTCCCTATCCGGCCCATTCATTCTGCATACAAGTAACAATGCGACAAAGTGCTTCCACTTATCCACAACAACAACACCCGACTCTTGTACGTGCGCGCTCTCCCCAGTCCACATTCTGCTCTGCCGCACGGATTTTGAAATCGGCTTTGGCAAGACCTTCTGCAGCCACTCTTTCTTACTCTCTGGTATGATATTTCTATCTCTAAAGAAAAGGGCGCCCGTGCGCACATACTCCGGGTCATCGAATAATGACTCGGGGCTAACAAAGAACAGCGAGTCGGCGTCGATGAACAGGACTTCACGGAAAGATGAGAAGAGCATAGCAAAGGGCTTACCAGCCCATCCTTTGAGCCGCCAACCTTTGTCGTTAACCATTGCGGAGAGGTCACGCGTTGTGACTCCCGGTATGGCCTCAAGCCTGGTGCGGAATTCCTCGCTCAAATCGTCGTCGCCGAGATACATGACCTCGACGGGAAGGTTGCAACCTAGGAGGCGGAAAGAAGGAATGGCAGCCAGTAGAAAAGGCGCATGATCATTGCCGGCGGTTGTGACAATGCCGCGACCTCCATAGCGCGATGAGACGTGCAAAGTCATATGATCTGCGAAGTATGGGCTCGGCCATGGAAACAACAGCGTGGTGAATTTGGTGAGAAATTGGCGGTAGGATTCGTATTTGTGCAGGGCCTCAGAGAACGTTGGCTCGCTGAACTTGTTTCGGATGTAGGGGATAACATCGTCCCGCACGTATGTATGATTATCGTTGTCGACGAGGTGGACATTCTCCCAAGCCTCGAAGAATCGTTTATATGCGCGTGTGCGTAGGCCAAGCTCGTGCAGCCTCTCTTCTCCTGTGACTGTTAATGGCCGCAGGAGCTCTCGAATGTATATCTCGTCAGGAATCGTCGACAGAAGGTGGTCCAGAGCGGCGTCAAAGAAATTTGGATCCAGACTTTTTGAATTTGTCCTGTCGGTATTTTCGATTGATTGCGGTGACCCTTGGTCGTTGGTTGTTGCGTTTACATTTTCCTGCAACCCTGCTGGATTCTCCACAATGGGGTTTCCATCACGCGGATCATGTCCCGATAACTCCACCGTCTTGATATTAGTGGGCCAAATTTTCCAAAATCCGTCCGTGACCGAATTGGAACTCTTTGCGTCTGAAGCTGGCGACGTAGGGAGCAGAAATGATATTACCAACCACCCAGCTACTGCCGCAACGATGAAGCGGGCGATCCGCAAAATTATGCTTTTTGGTCGTGCTCTGACTTTGGACCTCGGATATGATGGCGTAAAGCGGCCTTCTTTAAGCGGAAGTGAGTGCCGTGGGAGCATGTTGTAAACAGTGTAAAAGGAGTCAATTACGTTCGCAACATTTGGTTTCACAAAATGGGTGAACCCAGACCTTATAAGAAAGACAAAAATAGGAGAGTTTCAAGCCATCTGTGATCATTTACCCAAAGGAAATGTATTCAAAAGGACCCGTGGGCAGCTTCCACAAAAAACATCGTTCCATACTCTTTCTAGTTAGCGTCGTTCTTTGAGGTCTGACCCTTTGACTTGCATTTCCTACATTTTCCTGGGCACTTTATATGAACCTCCACTTGGGGCCTCCGGATAATTGTAACCCCTGACCTGAAAATACTCCAGGTGCACCATATTCCTAATTAGTTCCCACTCCTACTTTGAATAAATCGCGCGTTTCAAACCCTGCTTTTAGATTCAAGGCTGTTGCTTAAAAATTATTTAGTAAGTTATCAACATCGTAGATTGCCTTTGTAGCCTTTTCAAGGTTGAAATTTAGAATGTCCGAATAACTCACGGGACAGGCGGGGTATGCCCCGTGGACACTTTAGAAAGTCTGCTACCGAGGTTATCCTGAGATGTTTGGTAAGTAGCATTAATAGTTATACCAGCTGTACGGAGCAGATGAAATTATATCACGTTCCAGAGGGCAAGCTTTTCAATTCATTAATGAGCGTAGCAGACTCAGGGTGTACCTGAGTGTAGGAGAAAGAGCGGCTTCAGTATTATTGGGAAGATAATCCACATAGACGGAAACTAGAAAATATCACTTCTTGTTGTTTGTGTCAGTGGAGGAAGATGGGGGCGGAACAGGAGGCTTAGGGGGGGGGAGAGAGGACGAACTAGGGAGTGCTCCAGGGGTGAGGTACTCACGTAAATACAAACAGTGAAATGCGACACCTTCCAATTATAGGGTCATTCTTTCGTGACCGCCAGCCATAGCCCTAAGAAACTGCTTCCTCCGTACTCCGTAGTTTGTCCAACTTAGTTAATATGGAGTGACTCAGTTACTTAATATTGCTCTAATGAATTCAGCCCGGTGTTTCAAAGTACGAGGGTGTAGGTTTCAAACATACCCACATACCCTGAACTTCCCCAGAATGTCCATCTCGGATTCGCTGAAGCCACACACCACACCTCTGTCGCTAAGACATAACTAGATTAGACTTGCATTTTTGTAATCTGCAATTAGAAATATCACTGGCGTGGTTTCCAAATTTTAGTCTTATCCTGTACATCGTATAGTCCGTATAACTGGCACCGGTCTCAAGTAACCTTGAATGGGTTACTATAGTGAAGCTTTCAATCTCAAGACATAGTCAAACCATGACCGATGCTTTTGTTGTAGTTCCTAGCGCTATTTAGGGCACCCAATTAAGATGATTGAACGGATCGAACTGCATCTACCAAATATTTCTATATTCGTGCACTTCGTTGTGAGTAGCTATGCTACTATGTTGACGAATTAAACTTCATGATATTTCAAATATCGTTCGTTGTAAACCACCCCTGTCTCCAGTTCCGAGTACTTTTTTGCATTGCACAGCTCCCAGTGTTATAGTTATTCCACAGTTTCCTTCCTTCGAATGCCGATTTATATTCTGTCCTTATTTTGAGCGTGTTGGTGCGAAAATAACACATTAATATTGTTTTGTTGAGCTCGAAGAAGGCAAATAACATGGCCGCCTTTATTAGGCGTATTACGGCAATTTGGAGGTATATGTTACCTGCCAGGTCTTCTTCAAAAGATTGCATTCAACTCGAGAATTCTATGCATGGGGACGAGAGAAAAAGGATTGGTAGGTCCAGGTATTTGTGGGTCTCCCCCACATATGGACAAATATTTGCGTCCTGCAGACCCTTCAACCGCTTGGGAGCACACCGCGAGCTCGGACCTGTCATGTGGCGCCTAATCCCAGATAAAACTGATGTACGCCGTCACGGCATTGAAGCACCCCATCCCACGCAAAGGACCCGGCCTAGGATTGTGATATACACTGGCATCAAAGCTCCCTTATCACAGCAATGTACGGATCGTGGATGCCGTCTTTTTTGTGGCCGGATTTCACCTGGCCCCGACCGATGCAGTCAACAATATGCGAAGTGACACCCAAATTGCCACCTACTCCAGGCAAAATAAAACGCAGAGCCTGCGGCTTATTCCATGAAGCATTGTACCGGTTTTCAGCTTGGTACTGCTCATGGTGCGATATACCTTTCGATGCCAATATCGTACAATTGCCGTTTAGGTTGGTTTTGAAGTGGACAGATCGAACGAGTATAGAGGAAGCTGTCGCAATGCAAATGGCGCGAGCTGCCGGAATGCCTGTTCCAAAGGTTTTGTCTTGCGGAGAGCACCCCTATGCGCCCTTCAATCGCGTTTTCTCGATATTGATGACGAGATTGCCTGGTACCCCACTTGAGAACTCAGACGACCCTTTATACATTGAACTGGAAGACCCGTGGCTTTTCAAACTAAAGAAGTATGTTACTTCGATGCGCACTTGGTCCTCACCTTACGCACAAAGTATTTGCTCGGTTTTGGGTACCTCGTTGCGAAGTTCAAGAGTGCCTAATCATATTATGGGTCCGTTCACAGATAAAGACGAGCTCTACGACTATCTCTTGAGTCCGGCATCTAGACACGGCTTCAATTCGACTGCAGATTACAATCAAGCTTTGGCACAAGCAAATGAGATTCGCAAATACTCTCACGAAATTACTTTCACCCACGGTGACTTCAAGGCCCATAATATTCTCATCGGGGATGATGGCCATTTATCGGCTTTTCTTGATTGGGAATCTGCTGGCTGGTACCCTGAATACTGGGACTTCACGACAGCATTAAGATATGGATAGAGCAGCTGGTGGGCTCAGGTGGCTTTGTGGGCTGGAGGAGAGCAGTACGACGGGGAGTTGGCTTGTGATATTGCGCTCAACTCATTGACCGTTGACTCTTACATAGCCTTCTAATTTCCGGGCTTACATTCAATCTATGGTTTGCCTTTCCCCCCCCCCCCCCCCCCCCCCCCCTTCCCGCATTCCATTTGCGACTCATAGATTCATATTGTACTTGCAACTGAACACATGACATACAGGAACAATTCAACGACAGAAATGCACGCGACATGACTAAATCCTCAACTCGAGCAAGCGTTCGTAGCAATTTCAGAGGCACAGCCTGGATCTCACAACCGGCCGTGGCTGTTGGTTGATGGCAGCGCTTGCGCTATACTGGTTTCCGATCGCCATGCACTCCAGCAATAGAGCGTCAAAATTTCTGCATCGAACAATGCTTTGCTCAGTGAGTTTCTCTAGGATCCTCATCAACAACACACGACAGGTAACTCCAGGTATGCTGTTGACATCCCCATCATGCGGTCTCATTATCCGATCAAGCTCACCATAGACGGTCCCTGGAACGATGGCGACTTGCACAAGGACACACAAGAAATTCGATTTGAAAAAACCACCGGTAGGGCCGTGATCGGGTATCCAACCTCCGCCGAGGTTTCGCATATGATATTCGGTGCCGTCCATTGTACTAGTATGGAAGTAGTAACCCCAGTGGAAGTCGTTTTGTGGAGGAGGGTCGGATCGGATCCAATGAACGATGAATAGCGTGTTGAGCGGAAGTCTGGCTAATGCTTCTTCTTCTTGTTGCTTCTTGATTAGGCCTCGGCGACAACACGCACTCATTAGTTCCGTATATGCCTCCCTACCCGAATGTACGTGACGATTTATCTCATGGCCTGCCTAAACCCTAGAACTTTCCCCCCCATTGTTGAGAACAGGAGCAGTCATTCTATCGATACATAATTACCACGCTATTCTTAATATACCTAATGCACTATGGTATACCAAAAAGCTGAGCAATGCCTTTCAGTGACTCGGCTTCAGCAGTGCAGCAAGTTTATTTCTGTTTTCAAACCACAAAGAATGAAAAGAATACGATTGAGATTCTTTATCACTTGCATTGTTTATTTTATGTTATTATTCTCCTTTGTTTCCAATTATCAGGCTTCTATCATTCAAATTGCATAAATAGACTCCGTCTTCTCAAAAGTCGTCAACATCACTCGAAGCATCTGCATCGACTAGGCCTTCACTGACATTACCAGCTAACTAACCCTACAGAATTTTGTCCGTTACCCAGGTATCGTAAGTTGCCCGTTTATAATTATGTTGATCCTTACAGGAAACCCCGAGCTGCATTTTTTGTGCATACGCGAGCAGTTCAAAGCTGACCTACAGCTCGAGCTTGATGCTATTATGAATCGCGATGGGATTTCGCCTCTCTGCCTGGCGCTCGCTGTTGACAATCTCAATGATCTTATTGACGAGGTACGTGTCATTGAGCGAGCTTGTGCCACTATGTGTAGGGAGGTGCCGAGTTGCAGTACCGTGGTCGATGGATGCGGCTATTACGAGCAGAAGTGCACATTCCTGGAGAAGACAGAACATCTCCAGGAAGAATTGATTAAGCTCAAAGAAAACCTTATGCGCTCGCATTCTGACAGGCATTGGATTGTTCGACAGATTGGGGCTGTGCAGCGATATTTAGATTTTTAGATATACGCTATTTCATTCACTCCAAAAGGTTCCGCTTGAAATGTGCCAGAATAATTTGTAGTATTGTAGTATTGTAGTTCAATTTATGTCTTAGAAAGTTGTTTGGGGGCAGTCACAAATATCTTAAGTCTTAAAATTTCGCTCCGTTCCTAAACTGAGATTGGCCCTTTTGCCGCCCTGTTTGTCAATATTCAACTGGTCATAAAAATTAGAGACTGATCAAGATGTGACAAGAACGATAAAAGCATACGGAAAACCTTGATCGTGACCTTGATTTATTGGGCACCACAAGGACTATCAGTACTGTTATATTAGGCTAGCCGTGGTTTTGATCTTGACCAGCAAATCGTCCCATTGAATGCCAACTGCCAGATATTTGGGCCGCTCAAAGCAGCACAAAAGGCTCAGCCAAGCCTATCCTCTGTAGGCAGCTCGGCTATTTATCCATAAACTAAGTGTAATAAATCTCGGTTTCTTCCAAGCGTATACACCTGATCCACTGAGGCGGCTAGCTACTCCCAGAAAAAATTACGCTAGTTATTACAATATGATAATGTAGTTATTCTAAAAAAAAAGCACGCATGTCGACCCATTTTCTCAGCACGACACAGCAAGATAGTGCTAGAAACCATCCAAAGGCCGTGCTAATAACATCACGGAGTCTTCAAATCTCTAAAATTCAGGGTCTAGGTATGAGGCGTTAATAGCGGTGTTTAGACTACATACTACCCTGTCCAGCCTTCCGGGACGCTTGGCTGCCGTCTCATCCAGGGATTCGTCAGTGTGGGGAACTCCCCGCGGGGAAACCCTTACACTAGTCCTGTTTCGTCCCGTGGGTGAAGATTACTAGCCTCCCCGGGTTACATTAAACCGAACAGTCAAGGCCTTTCGGACAAGAGGGAACCGAGATGTTATGGGGTCGAAATGGTTGAAAGCGTGGAGAAAAGACTAGGGGCCCCAGATCCCAACACCTCTCTTTTTCCCCATCAATACAAGCACATTATGGTCCTACGTGGAAAATACCTACACTGGGCTGTGACGGCTGCAAGCTGTCAAGCCTTTCTTCTCCTCGGATATGACCAGGGAGTGATGAGCGGCCTGATTGGCGCGAACAATCAGTTTGGACAAACCTTCAACAATCCTGACAGTACAATGCAGGGTCTCCTTACTTCGATCTACGATATCGGCTGTGCAGTCGGCTGTCTCCTCAGTCTCGTCATTGGTCACAAATACGGTCGCCGCAAGATGATCATCGCGGGTGGTTCAATCATGATCATAGGGACAATTATCCTGGGCACTTCTTATTCCGTTCCTCAATTCCTCGTTGGCCGAATTGTCACTGGCCTTGGCAATGGAATCAACAGCAGCACCGTACCAGCCTACCAATCGGAGCTGGCACGCCCAGAACAGCGTGGCATGTTGCTCTCTGCCCAAGGCACAGTTACAATTCTCGGGCTTTGCATCGCATACTGGCTGGACTATGGACTGAGCTTCGTGGACACACCCGTTCAGTGGCGGTTCCCAATCAGCTTCCAGGCTTTCTTTGCTATCTGCTTGGTCTTGCAGATGATTCCCCTGCCTGATTCCCCACGATGGCTCTGTGAACAAGACCGCAGTGATGAGGCAGCGTCGGTCCTGGCACGTCTACAACTGAATCAGCCCGCTGATGAGTCGAATCCTGAGGTTGTTATTCTACGTCATCAAATTGAATCGTCTATCGAGATTGAATCTGCTGGTGGACCCTTCAAATACAAGGAGCTCTGGTCGGGTGGCCCGATGGGTAATCTCCGACGCATGATCTTGGCTGCTGTTATTAATATCCAGCAGCAGTTTACTGGTGAGCAATACCAATTCGGGTACTGTAGGGGATTGACGCATTAACATGTCTTAGGTTCTAACATGATCAACTACTATGCCCCTGTTGTCTACCAGGTATGTTCATATTCCTATCTCCAGTTGTACAAGTGAACTGACAGCAATTCCGAAATAGAATGCCATGAATCTATCTCGCAACCTATCCTTGGTTCTCGGCGGGTGCACCTCTCTCGCGTACCTTGTTGGTTCTATTATCCCCTTATGGAGTATGGATAAATTCGGCCGACGGGCATCACTCATGGTCTCTGCCGCTGGTCTTTGTTTCTGCTTTGTGATGACTGCTATTCTATTATCGATTGGGACTTCCTCGTGTGCATATGCAGCTACTGTGTTTGTCTTCATATTTCAGTTGTTCCTTGGCATTGGTTACCTGCCAGTTCCTTGGTTGGTTTTTCCTATCACGGCTATATTTGTGAGCCCCTGCTAACAATTAACAGGTTCTATCCTTCTGAAATCTCGACTACTCGTATCCGAGCTAGAGCTCAAGCCTTTGGTGGCTTTGTCAATTGGATTTGTGTTTGTAAGTTGACTGGCCCCATGGAAGTAAGTGACTTCGCTAACCCTCGCAGTCATTGTCGTCCAAATTACGCCAACAGCAATTGATAATATTGGATGGAAAACATTCATCATCTTTGCTTGTTTCTGTTTTGCCTGGGTATGACTCCGATTCTGAACCTGACTTTGATGTTTTTGCGATACTGACTAAACAAATTTGAAGATTCCAATGGTCTTTTTCTTCTTCCCCGAGACTAAAGGCTTGGAGCTGGAGGATGTTGATCACCTCTTCTTGAGGGGTGGGATCACTGGAGGTGTTTGGGAAACTAGAGGTTATCCTGTCCACCCTGGGCACCACCGAACTTTGAACACAGAGACGAGTGAAAAGCCAATGATTGAGGCTGCACACATCGAGGTATAAAATAAAGATGTGCCAAGTACATCCTTGGGGCTCTTTCTGCCTCAGTTTTTATGTCTATATGTTCTTAGAGTTTATAAGAATTTAGATTTGGACTTATTGATTGAGATTTTTATCCATTTTGCAACCTTGTCTTAGTTGGCGAGCTATAGAGGTCGGTGCTCCCTATCTGGCACCAGGGAACTCATCCTAAACGAGAAACCCCAAGTATTGTTGTGCATTGAATGAGGTGGACATAGGGTGCGGCTCAACTAGTTCTAAGCCTAATTGGGAAGGGTTAAAACCGGGTACTGTCTACGAGTTGGGGATATGAGACAGCAAACCCAGATATTCATTACGAAGCCGTAAATTGCCTCAAATTCCAGGTATGGATATTCACATGGCCACAGGCGTGTATAGGCGTTCCCTCTCCTATTTATCCTTACGGCGGAAATACCGCCATATCATGTCGGCTACAGTCTCCTCGCCTGATTTTCGGAACTTTGGGTGCTTCATACGCTCCCCTTGACCTTTGGGGTGAGCTATGCTGTATTAGCTCTATTGCTTTCGATAGAGTGTAGGGAAAACTCACGTTGGCAGCGCGAGCAGAATACTTGGGCTTCTTGGGGATCAGTCCCGGCCCCGCGCTTAGCCTTTTCTTCGGCCCTGGCCTAGAATCGCTGTTAGTAATTAAACATCAACTTTTAAATAGAATACAGTTTGCCTAATATACGAATGAGTTGTCAGATTGTAGTCATCTGATGGATGAGGAGAAAGGAGCTGACATGTTGAGATACATGACAGCTAAGCAATAGCTTACCTCCTTTATGACTTGTCGGATCTGTCCCTTCTTGTGACGTCCGCGCAGGAATGGTATGTCCATCGGCCTTTAGGTAGGAGGTGGAGGAAGGGGTGGGAGGAGGTGGATGGCCTACGGCCACAGCAGAGACAACCAAAGCAGACATTCAAAAAAGTAATCGAATTGAAGTTGTAAGCTGACTTGATGAGATGAAAGGTAAAAGAAGAAGAGAATGGTGGTGAAATGAGATTAAGAAGAGAGTGGAAGTCAGATTGGGAAGAAAGACATAAACAAGGGCAAAGTGATACATAGAGAGGGAAGGTACCCTCGGTAGCCGGACATGTCTCCTGCTCTTCTCAACCAGCCTGTGATTATGTACTAAATCATCATGCTCCTATATATCTCCCTAGACTCTTCTCTTTCAACTTCCCCATTTACACTAGCTTACGGTTTAATCATTTGAATTACATGCAAGTTGATAGACATAATCAGTCAAGAGAAAGGTGACGGAGGTATGATTGATGATTACCTGCAATAAGAAGTGCCATAAAAGTCAGTTTTAAAGGTAAGGAACTAGTGCTGAATAAGTATGTACATCAGCTTCACTACTCACAGCCATAGTAGCACAGTACAATCAGTGTAAAAGAATATTATACAGATGTTCCAATTCGCATGGAGACCATATACATGCTGCAGTCGGTAAGCCCTTGACCATAGGGGCAACCTTGGAACACAGCAAGATTCAGGTGTCTTAGACATGTGTTCCGTGTACATGTCCACGGAAGTGTCTCTGTTTCTTCGCTCGCTGTTTCGCAGTCTCCTCCACACCCTGACCCCAACCTGTGGGCGTATTATCACCGGGCAACTTCTTCAACACACCATCGATCTTCTCAGGCACCAGATTTGGAATATTGCAGGAGGTCGAGGCATCGTTGATGAACCCCGCATCACTGCACTTATCCATACCCAGATCCCCGGTATTGCAGTTATCAATAATTCTCTGCAAAACCTCCTCATCCCAGCCAGCGATCTATTCTTTCATTAGCCGTTGCTCATAATATCAAATCGTTCATATATTATCGATATCCTCACAAAGTCACCATGAAGCGAATATCCAGTGCGATCCCCGTTGCTAAGAATAAAGGGCTGCGAGCCAGTTCCCTCAGTCCACATTCCCTCAAACAGAGGGGTATTCCAGTACACCTCATAGAAGATATGAGGAACGTGAATCCAGCCAGGTGGACAGTTCGCCTTGCCACCAGTTGTGCCCTTGCTACTCGGGAAGACCATGTTAGTCTCATGGGCGTGGAGGCCAGCCTTGGGGTTGTAGCAAGAGGGGAAGTGAATATCAGCACGCAGAGGCGACGCATATCCGTCGCAGTTCATATGCGGGAACCCAGCGCCTGCACCAGCATTGTTAGGGTCCTGGATGCCGACGCCGTGCATACCATCCGAGTCTGATGGGTAGGAAGGGATGTCGTAGGAAGAGCGCGGACATGTCCATTGCACAGGCTGGATGGGTCCTTGGTTTGTGTCTAGGACGTTGGCGGCGCCGCCTTGGGGTGGGGTTCGGAGGGATGCGTTGCCGATGAACATGCGCAGGCCGACGGGGAAGGGCTTGATTTCGTCATCGGTTGGCTCGAAGAAGTAATAGACGTTCATGTAGAACATGGGAACTGAGAGGAAGCTTCCGTTGGAGTGTTGGAAGTACAGGGATGGGGTCCAATAGTTGCTTTTGTCGGCGTCGACTAGAGAGGAGGTGCAGTTTGAGTACATGAGGGCATCGTCGGTCATGGTCAGATTGAAGTTGCTCCCGCCCTGGATTGCGTGCGAGTGTGTTGCTGCGGTTCCTGGGTTCATGATCGGGTCCATTCGTCCCATTGATAAAGCACCATTGCCATAGAAGTGGTTCACAGCGAAGGTACGTGTGTCCTTTGCGAATGCACACGCAAAGATGGCGGCAAAGGCCATCATAGATAGCGAAGGTTTGGCATACATGTTGATGGGCTTTCAACTTGCGTGCATGGAAATTTGGAAAAGAAATAGCTGGCTAAGGATGCAGCGGCAAACTCAATACAGAAAGAAATGAAAGGCTCAAGTACCAGACTTGAGGAAAAGGAATGACTTGAAGGCAGCAAAAGTGAAACAATGCCCATTGCAATGGTTATATAGGCCCATGGAAACTTCGCTCTCGCTTTCGTTCAATACTTATTACAATGTCAATATATGAAACTCCCCAATTTTCTTTAGTGAAAAATCAGGGTCCAAGACAAGGACTCCACCTTCTGTCACGTTGTTCTCAGGCACCAGGACCGGGCTAGACTTGCCCAAAGAAACTCTGTATATTAATTTCTAGGCGCCATGGCTGAGATCTAATGAGACGAAGGATACTCCACTCAGTCAAGGATGTTTCAGAATTGATTAATATGAAACCTACGACGGATCACTCGGAAGACATTCACATGGATAACAAGCCAAACACCAGAGACAAACTCTGGGAATTATCGATTTGAAGGATGCAGATAATATGTAATTTTATGAGGTAGGCGAAATGTTCAAGAAAATCAAGGGCCCAAAGGAAATCGCTGCGCAAAGCTCTCATCCATGCATAAGTTCGCTTGTAAAAAGAAGAAAAATGAAGACACAGGTACAAGAATTAATAACACACGTTGGTCATCCTATGCCCACACCGTAGAAGGACCACGGAAAGCGGAAGGGGTGTAATGAATGGATGGATTGTTCAAAGAACTCCCGATAGAACGGCTTCGGTGGCTGCATATCTGTTAGCTGTGTCCCTTAAATATCGAGTAAATCATGACTTACCAGAATTGATGTATGGCCGCTTGGCGTCCAGGTTGACATCGAATCTCCTTTCAAGCTCTTGCTTGACGGTCTTCTTCGAGACCTTCATCAAGTCTGCAGTCGCCAAAATCTTGCGGATCTCTTCGAGAATCTCATCATCAGGAGGTAGATGGCTGAGGTCTTCCATGCCAAAGTTGCTCATCATTTCAGATGGGGCCGCCGAGTAACGAATGCCACTGCCGTTTCCAAGAGGCAACTCGAGCTGCGAGACCGGGCGCGAGCCGGTATGATACCCATACTCTGACTGTGCGAATGGAGGCGGTCTGGTGCCATAGGAGTGTGCAGAGAATTCAGATCGGTCATCGCGCGAAGTTTGGGATTCCCACAGCTCTGCTTGGTAGTCTTCCCAGATTTTCTTGGGAATGGAGTCGGGGTCGAATTTGCCTTCGTCGGAAATGACAACCTTGCGACCTTTCTCTCCGGTGATAATACGCGTATTACCCCAGGAGAAGTCGTCCATGTGCCAGAAGGAGTACAGTGGCAGAGCAAGAGAAAAGATTGGAATGGCTAGGAGGTAGATCAACATCCAGCCAATCATTTCCCACTTGCGTCTGATGAGGAAGATCAAGGCCTGTAGGCCGTAGATGACACCAAGAAGAATGAAAGATGTGATAGGCAGCACATCTGGCTCACTAACACACCAATAGATCAGGTAAGCGATATAGGCAACTGTGACTGGCTGAATGACAGTCATGAGCAAATCGGTGAGCACAATAAATCGCATACTGAAACAGCAGAAACCACACAGTTGTTGCAGCGGAATCAACTCCATCAAGTTGTGAACGGTAGAATTAATCCATCTACGGCGCTGGGAAAGGAAGACAGCAAAGCTTTCTGGTGCGACTGTCCAGGCATGACACCTGAAGATGTACTTTGTCTTGAACTTCGGGTGATGCTTGATGAGCAGCGTTGTCAAGTAGCGATCTTCACCGAGATGTAGTAGATTTTTCATGTGGAGTGTATCGACCCGGATTTCCGAGTATGCATCGACCACGGCCTTGCTGACAAAGAGAGGCGTTCCATTCTCCGCTGTGCGGATACGGTACATGGTGAAACAACCGGGCAAGCAAGTGACGGATCCGAACAAACTTTCAAACGCCTTGGTCAGGTTGTGAGAGATGTAATATTCATAAACCTGGATCATTGTCACGATGGAGGTCTTGGCGTTAGACAAAGATGTCTCTCCGCAGCAGCCAATGAGACGTGTATCAGAGAGGAATGCCGAAACAAAACGCGTGGCGGCATCAGGCGCTACCATGGTATCAGCGTCGACCTGTAGAATATACTCGTAGAATTGCGGGTTGACGCCAATAATGTTCCGGATATGATGGTGCATCTCGAGCTCCATGGGGCTCATGGGTAGATTGTAGTGGACACGGTTGAGGAAGCGCATAAGAACCATCTGGGAATCACGTTTTCCGCGGTTACCAGGACGAGACACTTCAGAAGGCTTGCCAACTTTTACAACGACCAGGAAGGGAACGATGTGGCCCTGGACTTCGTACAGACCAGAATAGAGCTTTGCCATGTTGTGTTGCTTCATACCTTCGCCCAGACTCTCGAAGCTGAGCGGTTCAGGATCCACAGATTCGGGGACACCCAAGATGTCAAGGACGATTCGGGGAGTCGGACGATCGTTGCCCTGACCGATAATCATACCATCACAGATGACGAGAAGTAGTTTGCGCTTGTCATCATAGCGCATGCGAGCCATCGAGTCCATAGCACGACGCAATGACTCTTCGTCCTCGGTATACACAGGGACTTGACAAATGATGAACTTGTCCAAGTTCTCCGGAAGGCTCTTCTTTCCGAATTGCAACGCAGCCAAAAACTTGAAGCCAATAATGGAAACAAGCATGATCGAAATCGCGAGAATGAAGTATCGCGCAAACTGACAGCGAACTGAGTCTCGAGTGTCGACCTTGCCAATGAAGAACAGGTTGTCAAGGCAAAGTTGCATACGGGCCCTGAGTGCTGTGTCGAAATTCAAGCCATCCCAATACTTAGTCACATCATCACCGGCCTTTCCCTGGAAGATATTGACAAGCAGAGGGCTCATGTAATCAGTATTAACATTGCTAGTGCCGTTCTTCCCGGCCGGAAGGCGTGGTACTCGGGGCCCAGCAATATAATGAGTCAGGTCATAGATCTTGCCGTTGATACTTGCAACATTCCTGGAATCGTCCGTGGCCAGCTTCTTGATTGCCTTTGAAGTATAACCAACGTAACCTTTCTTGTAATTCGAGCGCAACATTAACATTTGCTCATAGAACCAATCGGGCCGGGAATCGTTGGTCCAAGAGCGGAAATCATGGTACTTGGCATTGATATCAAAGGTGGAGCTGGAGCGTGTGACTGCGGAATCATTCAGATTTGATCGATAGTCCAATGGTACGCTGGGATCCACGCGCCCAGAGACACCCTGACATAAAGCCGAGACTTGAATAGGGAAAAGATTTGTAGCGTCAGTGCCTGCATAGTTCTTAAGCGACTTCTGGGGTACGATGTTAGGGTAGTGGAATGGCATGAAATCTCCTAGGTTGAAAACCACACCTCGAATAGCAATGTAAGAATCTGCATCGCCGTTGCCATTCTTACCACTGAGTTCTGCCGTGTTGTAAACATCCTGGGTTGGACAAACCACTCCAGGAAAGCCAACAATCATGAAAACGGCTACACCACAGGCAAACCAAATGATCATGTTGATAGCGAGCTTTTCACGCCATGCAGTCCGCACATCCTTGCGCTTCATTCGCCCAATGAAGCGGATCATGAAATCGGGGATGAAGAACGTGAGGAGATAGACCAGGAACATCCAACGACGACGACCCGCAGACGTCGGAACTTCGTCGACCTCCTCCATTTTCTTTTCATTGTTTTTCTCAAGCATTTGCTCTTTAGTGTCAAGATTCTTGAACATATCACCAGAGTTGAATGCGGAACCTCCGGCATCAGAGCGCCCGTCCATTTCGCGACTACCGAAGTAACCTTGTTTGGGATCATCTCCATAGATAAAAGCACCTGGAGACTGTTCGGTGGGGCTGAGAAGTCGGACTTTGGAGTCTGGGTTTCCACCAGCGGTCTGGAAGCCATCGCTTTCATCAGCACCGTAGGATGGTACCACGCGCTCGCCCACTTTGGCGATATCGGCCCAGCATCGTTCGCTCAGGAAAACACCGGTGCTACCAACACGAGCTTCGTTACCAGGCCAACGTTTTTCATCGAGAACAACCTCAGACTTTTCACGGTCACTTCCAACCACAACATTCCCAATGTCAGCTAGTCCAAGGAACTCTCCGAATGGAAGGAAGACACTGTAATCAGCGTTCCGCAGCCGCGAGCTGATTTCGGCGATGCCGAATGTTTGGACCTGCATCCGCACACATTTGCTGTCAAACTGGTTGGCAATGCGACGATCATTGGGCTTGAGACAGATGACGAAATAGGGATTGAGGTTCGAGGAGCTCAGGCATTTGTTCACAATTTCCAGGCCAGAGAGGAACTGGCCGGCGGCTCCCTGGGCCGGCCCGGAAGGCATTCCGCTCTTCCGACCATTGGCTCGCTTTGATCCTGCAATTTGGCTTTCGTGTTCATCGCCATCCTCACTTTCGGGATGGGCACTTGGGGCAGCGAAACGGGATGGGGGCCCGGTCTTGCGCCTAGCCATGCTAGGCATCCGAAGTGGCTTTGAACTCACCTGAGCCTGCATGATGGCAGTTTTCTCCTGGGGGTGGGATACGGTCTGCAGAGCTTCTTGATGGAACAATTCACGTACAAAGTCACTCCGGGTCGAGCGCATCAGGTTCATCAAATCTCCTGAAATAACTTCTCCGTTCTCCTCGAGCAGGCCGGTCGTAGAGTAGTCCACCTCGCCGGCGAAATGCTTGACGGTGAACGCACTCCGGGTCTGAGACATATAGCCACTTGATCCACTGGTGCCACCCACAGAGATGGAGGGGTTCTTGTTCTCAAAGCGCTTTCGCACGCTGTCCAGGAACTGTGCATCGGATCTTCCGCGCCGGGTTTGGTCATCCAGAATGCTCAACAGACCGTTGCCATGCTTCAGCAGACCACGCACGGTATCCGTGTTATCGAAGTAGCTTGTCGCAGCCACTGTGATCTCCTCGCGATCC